TAGCCGCCGTCTCCTCCTGAGACAGAGGATACACATGACTACGAGGAAGCGAAGCGCCTACTTGGAGGTCTATCGCACTATCCCCCTGTCGATGAGGTGGTAATTGAGTCGCCTTCTTTTTACAGAAGGCGAGTGCCAAATCGGCATACTCAGGTGGAATGTGCATGGGGGGAACTTGGTTCGGACTTTCCACCGTCGTTGCCCCTACGGAAACACCTACACACCACCCGAAACACTGATCAGACCATCCCTTGAGAGCCCTCTGTTGCCATGAAATGTTGGGGTCATGAGATATCAACCAGGGAAGTCCCAACACCACGGGAAACGCAGGAGAATCAATAAAATACAAACTAATTATCTCCTCATGGCCCTCCTGCGTTTTCATCTTGAGAGGCGCTGTGACTTCCCTAATCAATCCTGATCCCAAAGGGCGGCTATCTAGGGCATGGATGGGGAAGGGCACATCAACGGGCACAATAGGAATCCCTAACTTATAGGTGAACTGCCAATCTATAAAATTCCCAGCTGCACCTGAATCTACTAGCGCCTTATGCTGGGAATGAGGAGAAACCTCGGGAAACACAACTTTAATACACATATGCGCAACAGAGAGCTCTGGGTGAGTTGGGTGCCTACTCACCTGGAATGACTCATCAGTGCGCTGCCTACCGCCTCGATTCCTAGGAGACCCTGCCCAGCACCGACCAGCAGTGTGTCCTCTGCGGCCACAGTTGGTGCAGGAGACGGCCTCCTTCCTGGTCTCTCTCCTGGTCTCCCTAGCACCAGCACCTCCGAGCTCCATAGGGGTCGGCTCGGAAGTGCTGGGGGATGGAATGGACGGCCCTGAATCTGGACGTCCGCGGGTAGCCAACAGGGTATCCAGGCGAATTGACATGTCCACCAGTTGGTCGAATCTGAGGTTGGTGTCCCTGCAGGCCAATTCCCGACGCACGTCCTCCCTCAGGCTACATCTGTAGTGGTCGATGAGGGCCCTCTCATTCCATCCCGTGTTGGCAGCCAGCGTCCGGAAGTCCAGCGCGAACTCCTGTGCGCTCCTCCTCCCCTGCCTGAGGTGGAATAGCCGCTCACCTGCCGCCTTACCCTCTAGTGGATGATCGAAAACTGCCCTGAAGCGGCGGGTGAACTCCGCATAGTTGACAGTAGCGGCGTCTATTCCCCCCCACTCGGCGTTGGCCCACTCCAGCGCCTTGCCGGACAGGCAGGAGATGAGGGCGGACACGCTCTCGTATCCCGAGGGCACCGGGTGGATGGTTGCCAGGTAGAGTTCAACCTGGAGCAGGAAACCCTGACACCCGGCAGCTGTGCCATCATAAGCCCTCGGGAGTGAGAGCCGCATCCCACTGGACCCCGGAGGTGAAACGATGGGCAACGCCGATGGTGGTGGTATCGTCGGAGGAGGTGTAGGCAGACCCCCTCTTTCCCATCGCTCCATAATGCTCACCACCTGTTCCATGGTGGTGCCGAGAGCCTGGATCATGGCCGCTTGTTGTTCGACGCGTTCCTCCATTGATCCAGCTGGCACCGCCGTTCCTGCTGACTCCATGTGTAGGTGTGTGATTCTGTCAGGTTTGATGTGTATGTGGAAAACTAAGTCAAGCGCAGGACACAGAGCGACTGGCAGACGTACTTTACTAAACACAGTAATGAAAGTACATAACAACAAAAACCTCCAAACAGGGAGGAACAACACTAGCATACAACAGCACTGCCGACCTAACGGAGAACAATCACACACACCAAACAAATGAGAGACAGGGGGTATAAAGGGAATACAATCAACACTAATGGGACACAGGTGTACACAATACAGACCAATCTAGACAAACACCGAAACATAGATCGGTAGCAGCTAGTACTCCGGGGACGACGAACGCCGAAGCCTGCCCGAGCAAGGAGGAGGAGCAGCCTCGGCTGAATCCGTGACAACATGACAGCCTGCTTGGAGTTTGCCAAAAAACACCTAAAGGACTCTCAGACCATGAGAAACAAGATTCTCTGGTCTGATGAAACCAAAATTGAACTCTTTGGCCTGAATGCCAAGCGCCACGTCTGGAGGAAACCTGGCACCATCCCTACGGTGAAGCATGGTGGTGGCAGCATCATGCTATGGGGATGTTTTTCAGCGGCAGGGACTGGGAGACTAGTCACGATCAAGGGAAAGATGAACAGAGGAAAGTACAGAGAGATCCTTGATGAAAACCTGCTCCAGAGCGCTCAGGACCTCAGACTGGGGCGAAAGTTCACCTTCCAACAAGACAACGACCCTAAGCACACAGCCAAGACAATGCAGGAGTGGCTTCAGGACAAGTCTCTGAATGTCCTTGAGTGGCCCAGCCAGAGCCCGGACTTGAACCCGATCGAACATCTTTGGAGAGACCTGAAAATAGCTGTGCAGCAACGCTCCCCATCCAACCTGACAGAGCTTGAGAGGATCTGCAGAGAAGAATGGGAGAAACTCCCCAAAGAAATGTGTGCCAAGTTGTAGCATCATCCCTAAGAAGACTCGATCGCTGCCAAAGGTGCTTCAACAAAGTACTGAGTAAAGGGTCTGAATACATTTGATTTATTTATAAATTTGCAAACGTATAAAAACCTGTTTTTGCTTTGTCATTATGGGGTATGGTGTGTAGATTGATGAGGGAAAAAAACAATTTAATCAATTCTAGAATAAAGCTATAACATAAAAAAATGTGGTAAAAGTCAAGGGATCTAAATACTTTCCGAATGCACTGTACATTTATACTGACTCTACACACCCGCACACCCACTCACATACAAGCTGCTGCTACTCTGTTCATCTTACAGTGAGGGAAAAAAGTATTTGATCCCCTGCTGATTTTGTACGTTTGCCCACTGACAAAGAAATGATCAGTCTATCATTTTAATGGTAAGTTTATTTGAACAGTGAGAGACAGAATAACAACAAAAACATCCAGAAAAATCCCATGTCAAGAATGTTAGAAATTGATTTGCATTTTAATGAGGGAAATATGTATTTGACCCCCTCTCAATCAGAAAGTTTTCTGGCTCCCAGGTGTCTTTTATACAGGTAACGAGCTGAGATTAAAGGGAGTGCTCCTAATCTCAGTTTGTTACCTGTATAAAAGACACCTGTCCACAGAAGCAATCAATCAATCAGATTCCAAACTCTCCACCATGGCCAAGACCAAAGAGCTCTCCAAGGATGTCAGGGACAAGATTGTAGACCTACACAAGGCTGGAATGGGCTACAAGACCATCGCCAAGCAGCTTGGTGAGAAGGTGACAACAGTTGGTGCGATTATTCGCAAATGGAAGAAACACAAAAGAACTGTCAATCTCCCTCGGCCTGGGGCTCCATGCAAGATCTCACCTCGTGGAGTTGCAATGATCATGAGAACGGTGAGGAATCAGCCCAGAACTACACAGGAGGATCTTGTCAATGATCTCAAGGCAGCTGGGACCATAGTCACCAAGAAAACAATTGGTAACACACAACGCCGTGAAGGACTGAAATCCTGCAGCGTCCGCAAGGTCCCCCTGCTCAAGAAAGCACATATACAGGGCCGTCTGATGTTTGCCAATGAACATCTGAATGATTCAGAGGAGAACTGGGTGAAAGTGTTGTGGTCAGATGAGACCAAAATTGAGCTCTTTGGCATCAACTCAACTCGCCGTGTTTGGAGGAGGAGGAATGCTGCCTATGACCCCAAGAACACTATCCCCACCGTCAAACATGGAGGTGGAAACATTATGCTTTGGGGGTGTTTTTCTGCTAAGGGGACAGGACAACTTCACCACATCAAAGGGACGATGGACGGGGCCATGTACTGTCAAATCTTGGGTGAGAACCTCCTTCCCTCAGCCAGGGCATTGAAAATGGGTCGTGGATGGGTATTCCAACATGACAATGACCCAAAACAGTCTCCCGAGTGGCGCAGTGGTCTAAGGCACTGCATCGCAGTGCTAGCTGTGCCACTAGAGATCCTGGTTCGAATCCAGGCTCTGTCGTAGCTGACCGCGACCGGGAGACCCATGCGACGGCGCACAATTGGCCCAGCGTCGTCCAGGGTAGGGGAGGGAATGGCCGGCAGGGATGTAGCTCAGTTGGTAGGGCATGGCGTTTGCAACATCAGGGTTGTGGGTTCGATTCCCATGGGGGGCCAGTATGAAAAAAAATATTTAAAAAATAATGAATGCACTCACTAACTGTAAGTTGCTCTGGATAAGAGCGTCTGCTAAATGACGTAAATGTTATTGATTGTTGGGTTTTGAGTTAGCAAGAAAAGGCATTTCACCGTACTTGTACGTGTGACATTAAAACTTGAAACCTGAAACTTGGGTCGGTTTTTCTTTGGGAGGGTGATAGATCTGTCCTGCCCTGTTGGAGAGGTAATGGGTGCAGCATACATCACACATTACATCACCTCTCCAGATGTGTTTGACTGTCTATCTTTGGATTTATTGGGCTTGGCTAGAGTGGAACATGATTCTATAAACTGTAGGATCTGCACTTCAGGGTGCTCTCAGCGGTTCTAGTCTCATCATAGATGGGGAGACAAACATTTTCCAAAACTGTCTGCGCTCGCCTGCCACCCTCTTCCTCCTTCTGTCTCAGGAAGGAAGGAGAGGTAAGGGCATAACAGAGAAGGCATTTCTTTCTCCATCAGAGATGGACAGGGAGGGAGCGATGGGGAGCCACCTTGAGTCCACTCAGTCTGATGAGAATGGGAGAGGGGAGTGGGAAGAGGTGGTGGACAGTCCTCAGCCGAGCAGCAGCAGGCAGACTTAATGATTCATGAGAGCATCCCTGTGTCTGGGAGCATTTAGTAGATCTGACTGACCCATGGCTGACCGACCAACCACTGTTGCTGCAAGGTGTCACTGGTCATCACACACACGCACGCACCCACGTGCAAACTCCTGGAAATGTACTTCATACACAGAAATATAATGAACAAATGAACATGATATCACATACAATACATGTACAATACACACTAGTCACTGAAGGCACAGTAAACCACCAACCACTCACCTGGTGATCTGAAGGTCCAGGCTTCATCATCATCAAAGTGGGTGTCCCCTGCCGTGAACCTCTCTCCTGGGAAGAAGGCGTGTGCCACGGTGCCTCCCGGCCCATCGAAAGGGTACCCGTCGTTGTGGTCTGCCTTGGTGAAGTCGATCTGGATGTCTGCGTCGTTCCCCGCCACTTCGTGGAAGTTGAGGGGTGAGATGTCACTCCAGACCTTGAGGGCATAGTACATGAGAGCTCGTACCGTATCTCTACCCAACAGAGGAGACTCCTTAGGAAAGGTACGAATCCTGGAGGAGGAGAGGAGAAGAGAAGAGAAGAGGGAGAGGGGACCAGGTGGGAGAAGAGGAGAGGGGAAGAAGGAGAGGATGAGAGGAGTAGATTGGAAGCAGATGGAAGTAAGCACAGGGGTAGAGGAGGACAGGGAGAGAGGAGGGTCAGGTAAGAGAGGATAAAAAAGATAAGAGGAGGGGAGAGAGTGAGAGTGAGAGGTCAAAATGAGAATAAAGTACAAGTACACTGGCAGAGCTGCATTCACTGTTCAACAAAATGTTAGCTGATGGCAAACGATTGCCAGCTCATGTATGATTATATGGCTTGTTTGCAGATACCCACTGATTGTATCTCCTTTTCCATTTCATGGCTTGGTGAGCCCTCGCAGTGGAAAACAGATTGACCATAGTGTTAGAATACATCAACATCTTTGAACTGAGTTGCGGAGAGAGAGGAGAAAGACTCTTTTGAATAAACAGTGGGGCAGTCATACTCTTGCCCTCTCCTACCCCTCTTCTCTCACTCTCCTCTGTGTGTGTGTTTGTCCAAAGCGCACAGAGGGTGATTGGGAAGCCACTGTGCCACTCCCACACACACTAATCCCTCTCCTGCGAGGGCCATTTGTCCTCTCCACCCCAGACCAGATCGGTAGGAAATTAATTTAAAGTTCACCTGTTAAAACTTGAGCCCCGCTAGGAGTCCCACACACAGACCCACACACACAGAGTGGGATTCACTTAGGTAGCCATACTCCATTCTCTATCCACTAAGACCAGGACTATCACGTTCCCTATCAACAACCCCAGACTGAACACACACTCAATAGCATTATTACAGGTGCTTGGGCTGCCGTAGCGTAGTAATAGTAGCCTGCTAGCCAAGGTCAGCGGTAGCCTCCCCTGCATCACAGATGCACCTTAGAGACTGCTGCCCTATGTACAGAGTCTAGATCTGACAAGCGAGGAATGTGATTTCCCCAATTTCTTTGAGCATACAATATTTGTTTTGTGCAGTCATTGTTGTTCATCTTTATCGAGGCTGTCAATAATTTTGGACCCCACTTTATATAGAGACATTAAACACTGGACCATTTCTTTTAGACGGTTTTTCACACTTCTAATAAACGTACAGTGAGCTCCAAAAGTATTGGGACAGTGACACATTTTTTATTGTTTTGGCTCTGTACTCCAGCAGTTTGGATTTGACCTGATATAATGACTATGTAGCATGTCTCTGTATCATACGCAAACTGTCAGCTTTAATTTGAGGCTATTTTCATCCATATCGGGTGAACCGGTTAGAAATTACAGCACTTCTTGTACATAGTCCCCCCATTTTAGGGGACCAAAAGTATTGGGACAAGTTCACTTATATGTGTATTAAAGTAGTCAAAAGTTTAGTATTTGGTCCCATATTCCTAGCACACAATGATTACATCAAGCTTCTGACACTACAAACTTGTTGGATGCATTTGCTGTTTGTTTTGGTTGTGTTTCATAGAAATGAATGGTAAATAATGTATTTTGTCATTTTGGAGTCATTTTTATTGCAAATAAGAATGGAATATGTGAATAATGTCAATAATGATGAGTGAGAAAGTTACAGACGCACAAATATCATACCCCCAAGACATGCTAACCTCTCACCATTACAATAACAGGGGAGGTTAGCATTTTCTGGGGGGGATGATATTTATGCCTCTGTAACTTTTCTACCAACTCCTGAGAAGTGCGTAGGAAAGCCATACGCAAGAAGGGTGTAATTTCCTAAATCGGAATCGGCCTTATATGAATAAGAATCTGGCATATAACCAGTATATAAATAAGAATCCAGTATATAAATATGCAGTGTGTATAAACAGTGTGGCTCCCTTTAAATACAGTGTACCTTTTAGTTTGAATTTTGTCAACAGACTCAATTGAATATATTGAGAAAACGTGTTCAGAATATTAGGGATCAATGAAAGAAAGCCATATAAATATATGTATATTTGTCTTTGTTTTAGCACCAATAGGTAGATTGAAAAATACTCTGATGTTTTAGATTATTTAGGGTTAGGAAAGTATTTATGAATCATAAAAAACAGGTTTGGAGAGCTTTTATGCACAAAAGAAAGAAAACGGTGGTTTGATACATTCTGAAAATTGCCACATTCAGTTCTTTAACCCATGGTACTGTTGCAAGATTAGCGTAAATATAATTATAATAGGGAGAATAGTGTACAATAGTAGGCTATACCCTCATCTATTGCCTGCACTAACAATGGAACTGTGTTTTGACACAGCCAAGTATTGCATCATGCGTCAGGTTCAAACTGTTACGGCTTGGTCTGTGTTCCGCTCCATAATGATTTAATTAGCCTGGATGTCTGTTTTTTTATATTATAAACTGTTACTAATGATCCTCAGGAACAACCACATGGCCGTGACGGCGTTTACACAGGAAGCAAATTAAGGTAAACTAAACCATTTAATTAAATATAATGATAATGTAGCCTACACCAACTGAAGGAAACGTACAGTAAATTGGCAGTTGAATATGTGTTGTTATTAGGCCTGCTGACGGTCGATACTGATATTGGCTAATATTTAACATGATAAAAATAGGAGACAGAGAAAGTCGGGCTAGCCTATAATTAAGACATTCGAGAGTCCCCATCCCTGCAAGTTAAAAGACAATTTAAATTATGCATAATGGCACAGCATTTCATAAACTTTACTGTGGGAAAGTTATGTTGATATGCTTCTGATTTTGCTGCCATATGACTGATTTCACATTTGTCTCCAGCGATTATTAAGGTAAAATATATCTAAAACAAATGTCATTTATATTTACAATTCCCTTATCCAAATGGATTACTAATTTACCTAGCACTTATCAATAGCTCTTATCAAGGTGTAAATTACAGTGCATGGAGAATGGTGTTATTTCTATCTGAAAAGATCAAGTAGATGCTTTTTCCTCTTGGAAACGGTAGGTTTTCTAGACCTTATTCATGGTTTCCTCATGCGTAAAGGTGGTGGAATTATTAGCGAATTAAGTCAAGGTCAGAATATGGCGTATCTGTAGACACACCTCCACCATACCTTAATTTATTCGATCTCCACCCAAAACGAATAGCAGGTGAATAGCACACTATTCTCATGCTTAAAGGGATACTTCGGGATTTTGCCAATGAGGCCCTTTTATCTTCTTCCCCAGAGTCAGATTAACTCGTAGATACCATTTTTATGTATCTGTGTCCAGTATGAAGAAAGTTTCAAGAGCCAATTCTAACTAGCTTTAGTGCAATGACTGGAAGTCTGCTAGCAGATACCCATAGACTTCCAGTCATTGCGCTAACGCTAGATAGCAATTGCGCTAGCGGTAGTTAGCAACTTCTTTCAAATGGCATGCAGAGACATAAAAATGGAATCCATGAGTTCATCTGACTCTTGGGAAGTAGATAAAGGGCATCATTGCCAAAATCCCTAAATATCCCTTTAAGTTCAAGGTCAGAATACACAGAGAGAAAAGTGCATAAAAAGGGAATTACGTTCAATTTACGCTTGCTTAACTCGGGTCGGAATCGGGCCCATACTGTGTTCTTCACATTGCTCATTCTAATATATGTACTACTCAGTGGCGATTTTAGCATGTAAATCTTGGTGGGGCAAACAAAGCAACAAATTGTGGGATGCATGCCAGCAAAGCCACTACACAACACAACACTAAACAATACAGTAATTGCACTATAACGGTGACAAACGGTGCCCAGAAACTTTTAGGGCCTACATAAAGCTGTCCCAACAGCAGAGTCCCAACAGCAGCCCCAACACCTTACCACTGCTACACCTGGCAATCAGCGGAGCCTTGTCTGGCAGTGAAACAGTTCATTCAGCCTCATTTACTGCCTTAAAAAAATATATAGCTGATATGGCTGACTTGCTTAAACAAATGTGGTTTCTACTGACAATTGAGATGTACAAACTATGGCATAAGGGGACGACAAGCGGATAAGAGGCAATCCATATTTTCCCAGTCAGAGCTAGTGTCACGATCGTCTGAGGAAGCGGACCAATACGCAGCGCGTTGAGTGAACATAATGACTTTAATTGATAAAGCACGTAAATACAAAACAAAAGACGATAGTGAAGTCCAACAGTGACAATGACTGAACTTGGAACAAAAACCCACAATTCCCACAAGAAAACATACAGAATAAATATGGCTCCCAATCAGAGATAACGAGCCGACAGCTGACACTCGTTACCTCCGATTGGGAGTCAATGACCAAACCTAGAAATACACACAACAGAACTACCAACATAGAAATACACCCAAATGCCCAACATAACCAAACCAAAACCCAACAACACAAAATACACCCTGGCTCAAATACAAACGTCCCGGAGCCAGAGTGTCACAGCTAGTTTTTCCCGAGTTCCCAATTGTCTTGAACTCACTGAAGTCAGATTTCGCAGTTCCGAGTTAACAGTTGTTTATGTCCAATGGCCGATGAGCACCGATACGTTTTATCTATAATTTCTCTTCATTATTTCTCTTCATATGACAAGGATTAAAAAGGATTTGCCAGTAGATTGTGGACTTGATTCATGATGATGACTGCTAGCTAAGATTTTGAAAGTATGATGTTGACATGATCAGTCCAATCAAAGCTACTGTAGATATAACGTGATTTGTTTTCATTTTATCTGTGGCCAATGACCTTGAGCCTTCTTGGATGGGCACTTCTAATGTAACTCTATGGCAGCACCCAAGGGGCTTGAATTTTCGAGCTCTACCCTTAGACTTGCCGGTGATGAAGTGTCCCCATGAGTGACAGAACACAGCCAATCACGGCGCAACTAGAACATTACCAACACCTACGCTCCGTATTTTCCGCTGGCTGCCCCACCACCACCACCACAGAAAGCACTGAGCTAGGCTGAAACGCCTGCATTTTGGAGCTGCCTTACTCAAGAAAGCAAAAAATGTGGCACCTGCCTTAAATGACGGGTTGCCACTGCTACTACTGTACATTTAATTTTGTTTTGTTATACACACCGCCTGTATTTATATACTGGATTGTTAACATAGCTCACTGTAATATATCTTCTGTGGTACATATCATTCTAAGTATATATTTTTGATGTATATATGCATAAATTGCATTTGGATTACTGATACAGTGTTACTTGGGTTGTTAACTGGATTCGTCCTGACATTCGTGATTTCTTGCTTCTAGTCTTGATTATTATTTGTTTTCTATTGCTCTATTATTATTTAGTTAGACATTTTTTTCGGCACTGTTAGGAGCTAGTAACACAAGCATTTTGCTGCACCTGCTATAAAGTCTGCTAAACTGTGTACGCAACCCATAAACTTTGATTTGATTTGAGTGAGGTAACCTTTCAGGCCCTGAGCCTGACACGCTGACACTTTCGCCAGCCATGAGTATGTACCCATTATGGTATCACATCATTGAAGGTGCCGAGAGGGCAAGGCAACTGGAGGCTATCTGTATGTGTGTGTGTGTGTGTGTGTATGGAGACACAAGGTTGTGACACACAAAGGGATCTTTGAACCTGAGCTGTAATTTGACTGAGGGAGTTTAGTTGAATTTAGGAAGAGGGTACCAGACCTGCTCACGCACCACACCCGTACGCATATGTGATAGAATTAAAAGTACATTAATAATAACAAAATAATAATACAGAATCATAATGTGTACCAGTAAGTAATATGCGGTTCATTTATCTAAATGCTGATTATACGATCTGTGTGCTCTACTGATCTGTGTGCTCCAGTATGGATTTTTTTTTAAATGTATGCACTCACTAACTGTAAGTCGCTCTGGATAAGAGCGTCTGCTAAATGACTAAAATGTAAAATGTAAATGTAAATGCTCTATTGATGTCTGATCTGAGTTTAATTCCTATAGGGGCGCACAGGACTTCCCAGCTCACTCAATACAAGTAACTTGAAGCCGAAGCTACATCTATGAATGCGATTTCGAATGTGTTTTTTCATGTCAGAATGTTACAGATGTTACTGTGTGTTATTTAGTCAGTAGCAAAGATGTTTAAAACATTACATGTGTTATTTTTATGTTTAGACCACCTCGAAATTAACCGTTTTTCTAGCTTGCTTGCTAAAAGGCTGCTCACTTGCACAAGGTGAATTCGTGATCAGAGCATGCCCGAGAGAGACCGCGCACAGCTCCTGTGTGTGTGGGTGAATGGGAACAATCGAAAACGTTCTGTTGTTGTAATCTAAAGCACTAAATACAAATTAATACAAGGTTATACATGTTTTTGTTATTAGGATGACAAATAAATATAGGAACAGTATATACAAGGATAATTAATGGTGATAATAAATAGTGGGATACGTGATGCATTTAAAAAGGTTAAAAGGTTTGTCATTGCATTTCATAGTGTCAATTTAAAGAGGGATAATAAAGGAATCATTGTAATGTATAAATGAGACTACTGGTTTCTTGAACAATTGTAACAGCTACAGTGAGGGAAAAAACAGAATAACAACAAAGAAATCCAGAAAAATGCATGTCAAAAATGTTATGAATTGATTTGCATTTTAATGAGAGAAATAAATATTTGACCCCTCTGCAAAAACATGACTTAGTACTTGGTGGCAAAACCCTTGTTGGCAATCACAGAGGTCAGACGTTTCTTGTAGTTGGCCACCAGGTTTGCACACATCTCAGGAGGGATTTTGTCCCGCTCCTCTTTGCAGATCTTCTCCAAGTCATTAAGGTTTCGAGCCTGACGTTTGGCAACTCGAACCTTCAGCTCCCTCCACATATTTTCTATGGGATAAAGGTCTGGAGACTGGCTAGGCCACTCCAGGACCTTAATGTGCTTCTTCTTGAGCCACTCCTTTGTTGCCTTGGCCGTGTGTTTTGGGTCATTGTCATGCTGGAATAAATAAACTTACCATTCAAATTATAGACTGATCATGTCTTTGTCAGTGGGCAAACGTACAAAATCAGTAGGGGATCAAATACTTTTTTCCCTCACTGTATGTCATTTTAGAGAATATATTTTGTGCATTTGTGAAACATATTTTGTACCTATGAAAATGGTTGATGATTTTATATGAAAAACACTCATTACAAGTGACTTGAAGCCAAAGCTACATCTCTGTGTGATTTATATATATATTTCCCCCTTTCAGGGGTATAACACATACAATACACACATATTATACTCCGGAACAAAATCAAAATGCTACTGCACACTCAGTCCTAGATAGGAAGCAACATCAAAATGCTTTCAGGGTCGCCCAGTTCATCAGGATGCTACACAGGGCCTGATAAGGGCAGCTTATTGCCAATGATATTTCCCATCCCACTCAACTTGTCCATTGCAGGATTTCTGAGCGATGAACACCTTCATTTGATGGATGACTAAGTGCAGTCTTTTTCAGGGCTGACCATAGGCAGGGCAGTATGGGGATGAGCAGTCTGTGACTCTGACCTGAGATGGATATACAATGAGCCCTGGCTGCTATCTTCCCCAAACTCAATTGTTGACTTTTCATTTGCAAGTCCAGTCACAGCTCCTGCACTGCCTCTCCCATAGTCTGATGACTCAGATATTTTTCTCTTTCTCACTTAAATCTCTCAGCAGGATTAACCTCCGTAGCTCCCTGGCCCCGATATGAAAGAAGCTGGCTTTCTCTCTTCATGGAAACACATATATGCACACACACAGATTCTCTCTACTGACACACACATGCACACACGCAGACAGGCGCGTTTAAAGGATGTCACGCTTCTTGCTTAGCGAATACCGTTTCCTCCTGATTCGGCTCACACAGAGGCTCGAACCCAGGACCTCTGCTTTGCTAGCGCGTGACCGCCATCCCGAAGCCTCTTGCCACTCTTACCAGTTGCGCCACACGAAAAGCTAGCTGATCGGCTAATCAGTGGTGCAAGTGGTCCCCACATCCCCATGTGCTACACACACAGCCACACAAGCACACACACAAGCACACACACACACACACACACACACACACACACACACACACACACACACACACACACACACACACACACACACACACAACCATGTAAAATTGTGAAAGTACAGTGGGGAAAAAAAGTATTTAGTCAGCCACCAATTGTGCAAGTTCTCCCACTTAAAAAGATGAGAGAGGCCTGTAATTTTCATCATAGGTACACGTCAACTATGACAGACAAATTGAGAATTTTTTTCTCCAGAAAATCACATTGTAGGATTTGTTATGAATTTATTTGCAAATTATGGTGGAAAATAAGTATTTGGTCACCTGCAAACAAGCAAGATTTCTGGCTCTCACAGACCTGTAACTTCTTCTTTAAGAGGCTCCTCTGTCCTCCACTCATTACCTGTATTAATGGCACCTGTTTGAACTTGTTATCAGTATAAAAGGCACCTGTCCACAACCTCAAACAGTCACACTCCAAACTCCACTATGGCCAAGACCAAAGAGCTGTCAAAGGACAAAATTGTAGACCTGCACCAGGCTGGGAAGACTGAATCTGCAATAGGTAAGCAGCTTGGTTTGAAGAAATCAACTGTGGGAGCAATTATTAGGAAATGGAAGACATACAAGACCACTGATAATCTCCCTCGATCTGGGGCTCCACGCAAGATCTCACCCTGTGGGGTCAAAATGATCACAAGAACGGTGAGCAAAAACCACATGGGGGGACCTAGTGAATGACCTGCAGAGAGCTGGGACCAAAGTAACAAAGCCTACCATCAGTAACATACTACGCTGCCAGGGACTCAAATCCTGCAGTGCCAGATGTGTCCCCCTGCTTAAGCCAGTACATGTCCAGGCCCGTCTGAAGTTTGCTAGAGTGCATTTGGATGATCCAGAAGAGGATTGGGAGAATGTCATATGGTCAGATGAAACCAAAATAGAACTTTTTGGTAAAAACTCAACTCGTCGTGTTTGGAGGACAAAGAATGCTGAGTTGCATCCAAAGAACACCATACCTACTGTGAAGCATGGGGGTGGAAACATCATGCTTTGGGGCTGTTTTTCTGCAAAGGGACCAGGACGACTGATCCGTGTAAAGGAAAGAATGAATGGGGCCATGTATCGTGAGATTTTGAGTGAAAACCTCCTTCCATCAGCAAGGGCATTGAAGATGAAACGTGGCTGGGTCTTTCAGCATGACAATGATCCCAAACACACCGCCCGGGCAAAGAAGGAGTGGCTTCGTAAGAAGCATTTCAAGGTCCTGGAGTGGCCTAGCCAGTCTCCAGATCTCAACCCCATAGAAAATCTTTGGAGGGAGTTGAAAGTCCGTGTTGCCCAGTGACAGCCCCAAAACATCACTGCTCTAGAGGAGATCTGCATGGAGGAATGGGCCAAAATACCAGCAACAGTGTGTGAAAACCTTGTGAAGACTTACAGAAAACGTTTGATCTGTGTCATTGCCAACAAAGGGTATATAACAAAGTATTGAGAAACTTTTGTTATTGACCAAATACTTATTTTCCACCATAATTTGCAAATAAATTCATAAAAAATCCTACAATGTCATTTTCTGGAAAATGTTTTGAAAAAATGAAAAAAATTCTCAATTTGTCTGTCATAGTTGACGTGTACCTATGATGAAAATTACAGGCCTCTCTCATCTTTTTAAGTGGGAGAACTTGCACAATTGGTGGCTGCCAAATACTTTTTTTCCCCCACTGTACATGCAATCTTTACGCGTTACACTTCCACTGCAAACTCACAAGTATCAACACCACAAGCTCCCAGCTACTATCTAATCAACGCAACATTGACATTATCCCACCCCTGGTTAGCCACTATTGGCTTTAAAAATGCACTATGCAGAAATCGCTTTGCCATTTCCTGGTTGCTAAATTTCAAATAGTTAGCCTAATTTCAGTTTATGTGACAAAACAAGCAAGTATAGTGTAGGGAATCATTGTACCATCTAAACCGCTGTGAAATATATTTTACATATCCAAAAATATTGTATTTTCAGCTGTTTGAAGCTGGTGTTCAAGTAAAGTAAAAAACGCAAAAACGAAACTTAAGAATGGGAAGCATAGAAGTAGCACACATAGAACAGATCTACTGCTTCTTAGACTTGCGTTTAATGAGAATGACAGATATATACTGTAACTCACATTTCTATGTGAATTTGGTAGGGTCGCACAAAAAAAATATATTGCAGCTTTAAAAAGCCAAACCTAACACAATATCTGCCAATTAATTTCCAGCAATATCGTCCTGTCTGTCTGTGTCTTGCGCGCGTTCTCTCACTCCATGTGTAGCCAGTTGATGTGATCACCGTCTTGTGGGTTGACAGAAATATGTTGATGAGGGCAGGTGTTCGGCAGGCGGGAGCGAAGGACACTGTCTATCGGTTTCGCTCCAACTAGCTAGCAAGGAGGACTCCAGGAGACGGGGCGAAAAATAAAAAATAAAAAATAAATCCCCTTTCGACCCACATTCAAAAGTGTCACAAGTATGAAGATGTCGTACCCGAGGGTTGGGGGGCGTTCATGTAGGAACCAATGGGGTGCTCAAGGAGGGGCATTCATGCAGGAACCAATGGGATGCTCGAGGGGGGGGGTTGTTCATGACGGAACCAATGGGATTTTTTTTCTTCTGATTTGATTTAAGCATTGACATGGACACAGAACATCCAATCCCGTTGTGTCTCTATGAACAATTGTAATTTTGAGAGTGAAAAGCCAAAAAAAATCTAAAACCAGGAGAAATAAAACAGAGAAAACAGAGAAAGAAAATTCACAGATTTTTAACCATTATTTTACCAGTATATTGACAGAAAACATAGTGCTCTTGTACACTAAGGACCCGGGGAAGAGTTGCAGGGGAGAGAAGAATGTGCCTATTTGAAGGATAGAAAAAAATTTGTAGCTAGCGACATGTTTAATTTTTTAAAAGTAGCTCTCATGCTAGAAAAGGTTGGAGACCCTTGCTACCAGAGAGAGCTTCCTAAATTAAGAGAGTCCTGCGTGAGTCTCCGTCAGCCCTGACCGAGACAGGTCTTCTTCTCTTTGTTCCTCTGAAAGGGACTGCCACTGCTCCTTACACCTCTGTCCTGCTAAACTGTCTAGGACCGGGAGAGAATAATAGGAATTTTCGCTGACACTTAACAGTAACTTTATTCTTTAACTTTGACACACTGGGCTGAGTAATAACTGAGTGTTAAATAAGCTCATTGCAAAGTTAAAATGTAGTGAACTTGTGAGGTTTAAAGACAGTATCCTTCAGTAGGATAATAATCCCATCCCGCCATCCATCCTTTGTCAGGAGTGAGGCCGCTCTTCCTCCATTTCCCCGTCAAAGTGGCTGTCTCAGCTGTCAAGCACGGTTCTAATGATGACAGCATAGGGAGAAGGGTGGAATTGATGTGGTGTCCCTTTGTTATTACTATCACTTTATGGTAACACCCTCATCATTGGATCACCCAGCTATGGTACAATGCCGATGTGATGGGGCTTCCTTAGGTTCCTTTGGTCTGTCCTTTGGTTCACATACACACGACTCTCTCCTCCCCTACTGTATCCCTAAAACATATATTTCCTTAACACTTGTGTATAGGTTGTTATGCTGGGAATGTGACAACCTATACTGTATCTAATTTATCCATGCTCTTTCTCTGATCCATTGTATTCATTAAGTCACTCAAATCCAGATAGGAACCAGAGGGTACAGTAAGGTCATGGTGACAGAGTGACTGATGCTTATCATGACTGTCTCCTTCCTCCACTGCAGCATGTTAACCCCAGCCAGCCAGCTGGACTAGACAGACAGTACAGGGAAATGAATTAGAGCTCTAGACCGACAGACAGACAGACAGAACTGACAGACAGGGAAGTGAATTAGAGCAGTAGACAGACAGGCAGACAGATAGACAGACAGGGACGTGAATTAGAGCAGTAGACAGACAGAGAGCGAGAGAGAGAGGGAGGGAGGCTGCTCTGCTGCTCTGCTCCTCTGCTTTCCCCACCTATCTGTTTAGGTGATTAATCCATCCGCTAACGAGCAGGAGGCTGTCTGCTGGGGGATAATGGGCTAAAAGTCTGTGATGAACTGGACTGTGTGTTTGTGAGTGTGTGAAGGGTTGTGTGTGCTTGTGTGGGTTTGTGTGTAGGTGTGTGTTTGTGTGTGTCATTAGGAGGCTGTGTCTTCTGTCTGACTATAATGTGATTTATGCTTGATTCAGCAACGCAGTGCGGAGGCTCCGTACAGAGGGTGTGACGCAATTGCAGAGCCTCCTGAGCCTCGCAGAGGCCAAATTGAGCTCTGTATGGCGATGCCGTGCACCTCCCAAATTTTGTTGACGGTAGGTGGGGGCGGTACATCCTGTATAAACACACTCACTTCCTTGACAACTTCTTTCACAACAAACATAGAGAACTTTCACGAAAGGTGTTCGCAAATAGAAACATCTTTATGATACCTCGTGTAGGAATTTGAAAGACATGAAAATGAGTTTGAACTCCTGGAAAGAGATCGGGGAGGTAATGGGGATAGATGCAGTAAAGATGTCAACGGAACGCAGACTGTGAGGGAGCTCCTATGTCAAGCACCGGAAATCTCAGAACATCTCAGAAGAGGTTAGGTCTTGTCTTTTTGTTTAGCCAGTTGCTCGTAATTTGCTGGCTGGCTATAGAAATTAGCCCTGAATCACTACGAGTGGTGCGTTTTAAGTGGTGCAGACCAATTTATTGGATGTGTATGAATCACTCCGCACTCCTCTGCTCCCCGAAGCGCAAGAAGTATTAATGCTCTGACTTCTGCGGAGGCCGCATCGTAGTACAGCCATCTAACCAATTGTACTATTATGTGTTTTTTCGCGTTATTTGTAATTTATTCTGTACATAATGTTTCTACCACCGTCTCTTATGACCAAAAAGAGCTTCTGGATATCAGGACAGCGATTACTCACCTCGTATTGGATGAAGATTTTTTCTTCAACGAGTCGGACGTGAAGGATATTCTACAGACACCCGACAAGGCCCAAATCCCCATCATTCGCATGAGAAAGAGACGGATATATCGTGGACGTAGGTCGGGATGCCTTGTAAGGATCCGACATCGAGCGAGTAAACTGCCTCTTCCATCAATCTTATTAGCCAATGTTCAATCATTTGAAAATAAATTGGACGACCTAAGATTACGGTTATCCTACCAACGGGACATTAAAAACTGTAATATCTTATGTTTCACCGAGTCGTGGCTGAACGACGACATGGATAAAATACAGCTGGCGGGATATACGCTACATCGGCAGGATAGAACGGCTGACTCCGGTAAGACAAGGGCTGGTGGTCTGTGTATATTTGTAAACAACAGCTGGTGCATAAAATCTAATACTAAGGAAGTATCGAGATTTAGCTCGCCTGAGGGAGAGTATCTCATGATATGCTGTAGACCACACTATTTACCAAGAGAGTTTTCATCTATATATTTTTCGTAGCTGTCTATTTACCACCACAAACCGATGCTGGCACTAAGATTGCCCTCAATTAGCTGTATAAGGCCATAAGTAAACAGGAAAACGCTCATCCAGAGGCAGCGCTCCTAGTGGCCGGGGACTTTAATGCAGGGAAACTTCAATCCGTTCTACCTAATTTCTACCAGCATGTTAAATGTGCAACCAGAGAAAAAAAAAAAACTCTAGACCACCTTTACTCCACACACAGAGACACGTACAAAGCTCTCCCTCGCCCTCCATTTGGCAAATCTGACCATAACTCTATCCTCCTGATTCCTGCTTATGAGCAAAAACTAAAGCAGGAAGCACCAGTGACTCGGTAAATAAGGAAGTGGTCAGATGACGCAGATGCTAAGCTACAGGACTGTTTTGCTAGCACAGACTGGAATATGTTCCGGGATTCTTCCGATAGCATTGAGGAGTACACCACATCAGTCACTGGCTTCATCAATAAGTGCATCGATGACATCGTCCCCACAGTGACTGTACGTACATACCCCAACCAGAAGTCATGGATTACAGGCAACATCTGCACTGAGCTAAAGGTTAGAGCTGCGCTTTCAAGGAGCGGGACTCTAACCCGGATGCTTATAAGAAATTCCGCTATGCCCTCCGACGAACCATCAAACAGGCAAAGAGTCAATACAGGGCTAAGATTGAATTGTACTACACTGGCTCCGACGCTCGTCGGATGTGGCAGGGCTTGAAAACTATTACAAAGGGAAGCACAGCCGCGAGCTTCCCAGTGACACAAGCCTACCAGACGAGCTAAATCACTTCTATGCTCGCTTCGAGGCAAGCAACACTGAAGCATGCATGAGAGCATCAGCTGTTCCAGATGACTATGTGATCACGCTATCCGTAGCCGATGTGAGTAAGACTTTAAAGCAGGTCAACATTCACAATGCCGCAGGGCCAGACGGATTACCAGGATGTGTACTCCGAGCATGCGCTGACCAACTGGCAAGTGTCTTCACTGACATTTTCAACATGTCCCTGACTGAGTCTGTAATACCAACATGTTTCAAGCAGTCCACCATAGTCCCTGTGCCCAAGAACACTAACATAACCTGCCTAAATGACTACCGACCCGTAGCACTCACGTCTGTAGCCATGAAGTGCTTTGAAAGGATGGTCATGGCTCACATCAACACCATTATCCCAGAAACCCTAGACCAACTCCAATTTGCATACTGCCCCAACAGATCCACAGATGACGCAATCTCTATTGCACTGCACACTGCCCTTTCCCACGCGGACAAGAGGAACACCTACGTGAGAATGCTATTCATTGACTACAGCTCAGCGTTCAACACCATAGTGCCCTCAAAGCTCATCACTAAGCTAAGGACCTTGGAACTAAACACCTCCCTCTGCAACTGGATCCTGGACTTCCTGACAGGCCGCCCCAGGTGGTAAGGGTAGGTAACAACACATCTGCCACGCTGATCCTCAACACGGGGGCCCCTCAGGGGTGCATGCTCAGTCCCCTCCTGTACTCCCTGTTCACCCATGACTGTATGGCCAGGCACGACTCCAACACCATCATTAAGTTTGCAGACGACACAACAGTGGTAGGCCTGATCACCGACAACGATGAGACAGCCTATAGGGAGGAGGTCAGAGACCTGGCCGTGTGGTGCCAGGACAACAACCTCTCCTTCAACATGATCAAGACAAAGGAGATGATTGTGGACTACAGGAAAAAAAAGAGGACTGAGCACGCCCCCATTCTCATCGACGGGGCTGTAGTGGAACAGGTTTAGAGCTTCAAGTTTCTTGGTGTCCACATCACCAACAAACGATCATGATCCAAACACACCAAGACAGTCGTGAAGAGGGCACGACAAAGCCTATTCCCCCTCTGGAGACAGAAAAGATTTAGCATGGGTCCTCAGATCCTCAAAGAGTTCTACAGCTGCACCATCGAGAGCATCCTGACTGGTTGCATCGCCGCCTGGTATGGCAACTGTTCGGCCTCCGACCACAAGGCACTACAGAGGGTAGTGCGTACGGCCCTGAACATCACTGGGGCCAAGCTTCCTGCCATCCAGGACCTCTATACCAGGCGGTGTCAGAGGAAGGCCCTAAAAATTGTCAAAGACTCCAGCCACCCTAGTCATAGAATGTTCTCTCTGCTACCGCACGGCAAGCGGTACCGGAGCACCAAGTCTAGGTCCAAAAGGCTTCTTAACAGCTTCTACCACCAAGCCATAAGACTACTGAACAGCTAATCATGGCTACCCGGACTATTTGCATTGCCCCTCATTTGATTTGATTTGGACAGCCACTGCAGATGGTGGATTGACCATAAATCGGCTTTAATGTTGGGGCTGTTCTGGATTCATGTCGCAACAGCTGGGTCCACCAACCTCTGCTCTCACCAGCCAATCAATGTTCATCCTCACACTATTCAGGTCTGAAATCAGCCTATCATGGTGTCGTATACATTACTCCAGTCCCCGATATATAGTGAGTCTCATGGCATCAAGGCATTATTACTGGTTTACCATGATCATTGTTGCATACTTCACACTGTTAAAGGGATACTTTGGGATTTTGAAAATGAGGCCCTTTATCTACTTCCCCAGAGTCAGATGAACTTATGGATACCATGTGTCCAGTATGAAGGAAGTTAGAAGTAGTTTTGTGAGCCAATTCTAACTAGCGTTAGCACAATGACTGGAAGTATATGGGTATCTGCTAGCATGCTAGCAGATAAAGGGGCCTCAATGCCAAAATCCCGAGGTATTCCTTTAAGTGTTGTCTCACAGGTGACTAGTCTATCTTTTGACATCAAACCAAATTCAACTAGTCTCATACTTCTAATAATACATGATACAAGGACAACAAAACAACACAAGGTCAATCCCTAGTTTGGGTTTTAAGATACAGTATTGTTTGTGTGTTCCTAAAATAGAGCCTGTTTTGGACTAGCTGTGAGTTCTGCCTCTGCTATTGATTATGTTACTATCTCCGGTTCAAATACCCCTTCCTTCACTGAGTCGATATGGTAATCCAGCCCATTAGAGAATAACCTTCGCTGACAGGCTAGGAGTGCTAGCCCACTAACAATACTATGGGCCACAGGAAGTCGTGGCACCTTTACTGGGGAGAACGGGCTCGTGGTAATGACTGGAGCGAATAGTGGAATGGTAACAAATATATCAAACATATGGTTTCCAGGTGTTTGATGCCATTCCATTTGCACCATTCTTGCCATTATTATGAGCCATTCTCCCCTCAGCAGCCTCCTGTGCTAGGGGCTCTATTTTAATAAACCTAAAGCAATGGTAAATCTAAGTGCAGGCGGTAGCGCTATAGGTTCTGGGGTGTCATAAATATTTTAGCTATTTTCACTATTACAATTATCGGCGCACTTGCTGGCGTTTGATGAATAAACAAGTTGTGGGTGTGTCGAGGCTTGGCCCCTCACTGGCCAATTAGAACGTGCTCCGTGGCAAAATATGTGGTTGCTTCTAGTTGTGTATTTACGGTATTTTATGTATTGCCTTGGAATCAACTCCAATTCCAATGTTAGTCCGTTATAGTTTGTTAAATGGCTTACAGAAACGAAATAACTAAATATAGACCTATCTTTGCTAAATATGTTAACTTGAACCCATTTGCAGTCCACATTGTTCTAAGTAATTGCATGGCTTCAATAGCATTCACACTGATATAGGGGCTAGGCCTACTGTAAATTACATTATGGCTGAGCATGGACATGCCAAACATTGTCAATAAGCAAGATGACATTCCTTATTGATAAGGCCTAAACAAAACGAAACAACATCTTGCTTTAAATATGCTACGTCACACTTACAGGCACCATAACTTCTCCCCGTGGGCATATAATATTAAAACAACGCAGACTATGGAGGGTTTTACACACATCCAAACGTTTCACAGTAGCTGGACAAAGATCCAATATAAAGAGAAAGGGAGAATGTCCACTCACTGTTATACTGCTCCCAAATAGACCTATGTTTTATTAAGCTAATCGGAACCATTTTACAGATCACATCGCATTCACACTCCAGAAGTTGCATTGCATGCGCGCCACGGATGTTGTAACCATAAAACCAGGAAGGTGAATCATTCTAATAAGATTGGTCGTAATAAAATGTAACGAAAAACAAGCAATCTGTTTTTTTTTACAACAATAAATACATGTTAAATGTAATGATATCATAAAGTCGCCAGGATAAAAAAACACATTGCTTTTGAACCAGCCTTTGTTATAGTGTGCCTAAGGGAGGGGTTTGGAATATATTAAACAGAAAACAAGCAATTATTACAGGTTACAGATAACTTGTAAATACGATGGGCATGACATGTAGCCTACATCATGGAGGGGGTTTAACGCATGGAACCTGCATGGCTAAAATAATGTGGGCCTGCCTACAATGCATAGATAAAAAGGGAATGTCAGCTCACTGTTTTACTCCTCTCAAACTTTATATTTCAATAAAGCTTTGGTGATTAAGATTTATTTCCAAGCGATCTCAGGAGCCAAACCCTTTATCGACAGTCTTGACTACTTTGTGATTGCATTGGGCAGGACAAAAAAAAGAGGAGGGGAGTCTATGCTTGTTTTTTAACCAAATAAAGCGTAATGGGAAAAAACATTAGTTTTTTAATGTTTCTAAATACGAAGTATACAGGCACCAAAAGCACATTAGGCTACTCTTGTTCCACGCACATATGGGCAGTGTGCGTCACGGCTGGATAGGCTGCCCAGCTAGCACAGTGGATCTGGGCCGATTCCGGCTGAGAGTCGGGGCACTCCGCTGAGAGTCAGACTCAGTCGACGTCATGTGGCCCGAGTCTGGGCCGCCTTCGGCAGTGTTACTTATGGGTAGGATGCGGGGATTGAGCTCGGGCCGATTCCGGTGTAAGTTATCTGGCCCAAATGTATTATTTGGGTCTCAGGCCGATTGTGGCTACTCTCTGGCAGATGATTACACGGGCTGATATATATAATTAACATTTCATTATTTATTTATTTTTCCATATTTTCTCATTGTTTCTGTGATCAAAAAATTAACTTTCCTGTTTAAGTAGTATGTTGGTATTTTTATACTTTGTGCAAAGCAATTGATCAGCATTAAAAACTTTGTGGCTGGGGCCTCCTGAGTGGCACAGCGGTCTAAGACACTGCATCACAGTGCAAGCTGCGTTGCTATAGATGCTGGTTTGATACCCGTCTGTGTCGCAGCCAGCCGCGACCGGGATATCCATGAGGCGACGCACAATTGGCCCAGCGGCCGGCAAACCCACGGTTAGGGGTGGGTTTGGCCGGCTGGGATGTCCTTGTCCAATCGCGCTGTAGCGACTCCTGTGGCGGGCCGGGTGCATGCATGCTGACATGGTCACCAGGTATACAGTGTTTCCTCCGACACGTTGGTGCGGCTGGCTTCCGGGTTAAGCAGCGCGGCTTGGTGGGGTTGTGTTTCGGAGGACGCACGGCTCTTGACCTTCGCCTCTCCCGAGGCCGTACGGGAGTTGCAGCGATGGGACAAGACAGTAACTACCAATTGGATATGACGAAAAGGGGGTAAAAAATAAAACTTGGTGGATGGGTATAATTTGAATGTATAATAGTAATATTTAAAATTACTAAATTGGGTAATTTTGTATACATTTATTTAAATTTGCATCGGCCCTCTTCTGGGGGGATTCTGGTAAGATGCCGGCAAAGTCGGCTGAATTCCGGTAGACGGAAACGGCCCGATGTACTTGGGCCGATTCTGGGCAGTCATTCATTTTGATCCCGGGCCGAGTCCGACAGCCGATTCCGGGCCAATTCAATCAGTTCTGGCCCTCCGGAAGACGGCCGCTTCTGGGCCGATTCCTCATTGCTAGCTGGGTGCGTTTCCGCTGTCAAAATTCATGCCATAACCAACTGTGTTACTGCTAAAAACAGCTTTTGATTGGTCTTAAATATCCCTACCAGCACTGCCTGAAATTAGAACTTTGGATCATGTTTTTATGGACAAGCCTAAAATATTTCCACCCCTCTGAGCGCAAGCGTGCTGATATAAGACAGGTAAATTGCCGAACCTGGCGTTAGGGCTGGAAAATGTGTTTGACATGCCGCCTTAACGCCAGCAGAAAATAGCTCCCTATATATCTATATGTGGAACTCTATTGAAGTGTGGACTCTACTGTACTTCCCTGAGTGTTTGTGTGTGTGTGTATCCCTCTCCACACAGCTCCCAGCCAAGCCCCTGCCCCATGACCCTCTGCTCTACACCAGCCCCTTATCTCCAGCGCTCTCAAACAAACCATTAAGGAACGTTATTACAGCATTTGACCCCTGACCTTACTCTCACTGGGGCTGGTAGACCCCGAGGCCAGTCTGTGACTGAGAGAGGTCATTAGAACTGACAGAGAGAACTTCACCTGTTTAAATAACTCCTGTTGACTCTTTAGATGACTGGAGGAACATGGATTCAAGCTTTTTTTCTGGGATGCTTTCATTTGCACGGTGCAGTGAGGCAAGACTGGGTTTAAGTCAACAGATAATCAATGGGTGCTAATTTTCAAAGCAAACCCTCAGGTAAAGAAGCATATACAAGATCTGCTTGGTCTCTGAGCTCTACAGCCCAAACCAATAAATCTGTGAGAGTAAACCAGCTCTCCATCCAGTGAGCACAGTGTTTTCAGGACTCTGTACAAATCAGTACTAGTGTGAATACAAACACATTCTTCCTGGTCTCAACAGACAGTCAGGCTGCTAGCAGACATTAGAGGTGAGAGGAGAGCAGGAGCAAGCAGACAGGAGCAAGGCATATGATTGGCACTAGAATGCAGGCGAAAGAGGGAGAGACTTAGAGGGAAAAAAGGAAAGCGATACACTACCGTTCAAAAGTTTGGGGTCACTTAGAAAATGTGTTGTCTTCGAAAGAAACACCATTTTTTTGTCCATTAAAATAACATAAAATTGATCAGAAATACAGAGTAGACATTGTTAATGTTGTAAATGGCTATTGTAGCTGGAAACTGCTGATTTTTTATGGAATATCTACATAGGCGTACAGAGGCCCATTATCAGCAACCATCAGTCCTGTGTTCCAATGGCACGTTGTGTTTGCTAATCCAAGTTGATCATTTTATGTTAGCACAGCTGAAAACTGTTGTGCTGATTAAAGAAGCAATAAAACTGGCCTTCTTGAGACTAGTTGAGTATCTGGAGCATCAGCAATTGTGGGTTCGATTACAGGCTCAAAATGGCCAGAAACAAATAACTTTCTTCTGATACTCGTCAGAAAAAGCCATATCTCAGACTGCACATCTTAATCTTTTATTTTTATTGGCCAGTCTGAGATATGGTGTGTGTGTGTGTGTGTGCATGTGAGAGAGGATATGTAGCTGTCAGCAACTTTACAATCCATCTCTCTCAACTCTCTCATGCACACGTACTCACGCACACACATATGTTTGTTTTACTATCCTTGTGGGGACCAAACTACTGATTTCCATTCAAAATCCTATTTTCCCTAACCCCTAACCCTAACTCACTCACTCTCTCACTCACCCATACTGACACAAACCAGCTAACAGTAGCTCACTATCCAAGCTACCTCCTGCTCTTGCTGGTTCAGCTTCAGAGCATGATTAAATCACCATAAAGGCAGACCATATGTTGTTCTACTTCCCCATCTCTGACAGATGTTACGAGATGCTGTCAACCCATTGTTACAGATGCATACAGTAGGCCTAGCCATTTACTTTCAAAGAACCCCCCATATGGCTCTGTCTATGACCACTTCCATGACCCTTTGACCCCTTCAACCAACAACTCATTGGCTAATTAACTGTACAATCGTCCATTACCATGGGCAATCTATACTGAACAAAAATGTAAATGCAAAATGTAAAGTGTTTTTCCCATGTTTCATGAGCTAAAATAAAAGATCCCAGAAATGTTCCATTTGCACAAAAAGCTTATTTCTCTAAAATGTTGTGCACAAATGTGTTTACATACCTGTTAGTGAGCATTTCTCCTTTGCCAAGATAATACATCCATCTGACAGGTGTGGCATATCAAGAAGCTGATTAAACTGCATGAGCATTACACAGGTGCACCTTGTGCTGGGGACAATAAAAGGCCACTCTAGAATGTGCAGTTTTGTCACACAACACAATGCCACAGATGTTTTGAAGGAGCGTGCAATTGGCATGCTGACTGCAGGAATGTCCACCAGAGCTGTTGCCAGAAAATGGAATGTTCATTTCTCTACCAACGTCGTTTTAGAGAATCTGGCAGCACGTCCAACCGGCCTCACAACCGCAGACTACGTGTAACCACGCCAGCCCAGGACCTCCACATCCGGCTTCTTCACCTGCGGGATCGTCTGAGACCAGCCACCCAGACAGCTAATGAAACTGAGGAGTATTTCTGTCTGTAACAAAGCCCTTTTGTGGGGATAAATGTATTCTGGTTTGCTGGGCCTGGCTCCCCAGTGGGTGGGCCTGTGCCCTCCCAGGCCAACCCATGGCTGCGCCCCTGCCCAGTCATGTGAAATCCATAGATTAGGGCCTAATGAATTTGTTTAGATTTCCTTATATGAACTGTAACTCAGTAAAATCGTTGAAATTGTTGCATGTTGCATTTATATTTTTGTTCAGTATAGTAATGGTTTCAACCATGACTCTGCACATGACCCTGCACACAGATCCATCAGTAGTCCAGCACAGCGGTCCACATGCAGGGACTGTTTGTGCAATGTTTCACCCATTTCATAAAGTAATCCCACACATCCAACTCTGATCCTCCCTGATATCCAATACACCTGCTCAACACCATGTGCATCATTAGCCATGGACTAGACTGTACATGCTAAGCAGGTTATGTGTTCCCTACCATCCCTGGTACCATACTCTCTACCATACGCAGTCCACTCTACATATCCATCCCCAGTCAGCCTCACACTGATAGCACACAGACTGATGTTGTGGTCAGGTGTGTTTATTCTATTGTCGTGTACTGTACCTCCAGGAGAGGTGTCTCTTGCTCCACTTGTTCTGGGGCATCAGGGCTCGTCTCCTGCGGCCCGCCGCCGCCTCGGTCTCAGACAGGTCCGGGAGGGAACACCTCGGGGTCTTCATTAGGCCCAGGGTGGCTTGGTCTGAGCAGGGGAACGGATACGCAGATGTACACATTAATATAGAGTAGTAAACTAGTGAGCATGTCCATCCATTAATCCATTAAAGCTGTATTGTTTTAGCAAAATAAAAACAAGACAAAGAAAAAGGCAAAGACAGTGTGTGCATATGTGCCACACACACACACACACACACACACACACCTAGCACTCCGGTCTCCTCCAGTCCTCCAAACTTCTGCATGGCTTTGATGGCTTTGGTCAGGGCCTCCTTGGTCTGCAGCTGTCCAGTCACTGGGTCAGGGGGTGGGAGATACCCAAACTTACTCAGCCAATCCTGGAGGAGACAAAACAGGAAGTGTTAAGGACCATTCCAGCCATTCCTAACCCCTGTGAATGTGTCAGTGTTATGAATGTGTAGGTATGTGTGTTTGAACATTTATAGTATATATTTGATGTGTGTGTGAGCACGTGCAAGAGAATATTAGAGGTTATACAACGGGTGGGTCTTATCCTAGATACTGATTGGTTAAAACCACGTTACAGACGGTGTCTATTCCACAAGTTACCACTGGCTAAGTCTATAATGTTGAAATGCCTATTCACTATTCCATCTGACTGCGCAATCCACTGTCTCTTCAGCCCAGCCATGCAATTTATAAACTGGATCTCCACTGTAAAAAGCATCTAGACATTATCTCCCATTTATTTTAGACTAGCATTTGTTTTTCAACAGCAGAGATTTGTATTAACCTTGCTGTCTGTCTCTCCGACATTTGCAACATTGTTAAAATATTGAAATTCAATCTCCAGCTGTCCCATAGTAATGAAGGTGTCGAGAGTCGGGACGAGACAGACAGTCTGGCAGCTTTTCTCAGCCAGTCGAAATCATGAATCAGCATAATTTTTATGGATATATACAAAGAAATGCCAATAGATACTTTAAGCATATGTTTTCTTTTCAGTCGCCTCCATCTCCTCTAACTGAAGCTAATTGTAGAGATTTTTTTTCTATTGATAATGTCAAATTAACAGCCACACAGAAAGACTCATGTGAAGGTGAAATTACAGAGGAGGAACTTCTGGATGCAATTAAAGACTTTAAGTCCGGGAAAACTCCAGGGTTGAATGGCATACCAGTCGAGGTATACCAAACCTTTTTTGATATACTAAGAGGACCGTTATTAGCATGTTTTAACCACTCCTATGTAAATGGTAGATTATCTGACACTCAAGAAGAAGGTCTGATCTCATTATTACTGAAACAGGATACAAGTGGAAAATATAAAGATCCAGTCCATTTACAAAATTGGAGGCCCCTTACACTTCAGTGTTGTGATGCAAAAATCCTAGCAAAATGTATAGCGCATAGAATTAAAAAGGTATTGTCGGATATTATTCATTCTAATCAGACAGGTTTTTTACATGGAAGATACATTGGAGATAATATAAGGCAAGTATTGGAAACAATAGAACACTATGGCAAATATGGGAAACCAGGCCTGCTATTCATAGCAGACTTCGAAAAGGCATTTGATAAAGTTCGACTGGGGTTTATATATAAATGCCTGGAGCATTTCAATTTTGGAGAATCTCTTATAAAATGGGTCAAAATCATATATAGTAACCCTAGGTGTAAAATAGTAAATAATGGCTATTTCTCAGAAAGTTTTAAACTGTCAAGAGGAGTGAAACAAGGTTGTCCACTATCGGCATATCTATTTATTGTGGCCATCGAGATGTTAGCTATTAAAATCAGATCCAATAATAATATCAGAGGATTAGAAATACAGGGCTTAAAAACAAAGGTGTCATTGTACGCTGATGATTCATGTTTTCTTTTAAATCCACAACTAGAATCCCTCCACAGCCTCATAGAGGATCTAGATACATTTTCTAACCTCTCTGGATTACAACCAAATTATGACAAATGTACTATATTACGTATTGGATCACTAAAAAATACAATTTTTACATTACCATGTAGTTTACCAATAAAATGGTCTGATGGTGATGTGGATATACTCGGAATACATATCCCAAAGGAAATTAATGATCTCACTTCAATAAATTTTTATAGAAAGTTAGCAAAAATAGATAAGATCTTACTACCATGGAAAGGAAAATACCTGTCAATTTGTGGAAAAATCACCCTGATTAACTCTTTAGTATTATCCCAGTTTACCTATTTGCTTATGGTCTTGCCTACGCCTAGCGAACATTTTAAATTATATGAGAAAAAAATATTCAATTTTATTTGGAACGGCAAGCCAGACAAAATTAAAAGGTCATATTTATATAATGAATATGAATTCGGAGGACAGAAATTATTAAATATTAAAGCATTAGACCTATCACTAAAAGCTTCAGTCATCCAAAAGTTATACTTAAATCCGAACTGGTTCTCAAGCAAATTAGTAAGATTGTCTCACCCAATGTTCAAGAAAGGCCTTTTTCCCTTTATTCAGATTACAACCTCTCACTTTCAGTTATTTGAAAAGGAAATCATCTCCCAAATATCACTATTTCTAAAACAAGCCATAGAAAGTTGGTTGCAATTTCAATTTAATCATCCAGAAACGACAGAACAAATAATGCAACAAATATTGTGGTTAAATTCAAATATACTAATTGACAAAAAACCTTTATTTTTTGACAGAATGTTTAAAAAAGGTATAATCTTCGTAAATGATATCATCGGTAGGACTGGTGGAGTTATGTCGCACATGCAGCTAACAAAAACATATGGAAATGTCTGCTCTACCCAATATTACAACCAAATAATTGCAGCCTTACCGCAAAAGTGGAAGAGGAAAGTGGAAGGGGGAGAAAGTAAGGAACTTGTCTGTCGGCCTTGCATTAAAGAACATAATTGGTTAAGGAAAACTGTGATAAATAAAAAAGTATATCAGTTTCACTTAAGGACCAAAGGATTGACAGCCGTCCCATATAGATTGCAAAATAGTTGGGAAAAGTATAATAATACTTTTAGCAAAAATGTTTATTTTTAATACACAATCTGTAGAAGCAATGAGAATAGAAAGGTTCAGAACTTTTGTAAAACATCACAGTACGGTCGAAATATATATGGCAAATAGAAATCCTATATGGATGGTGTTAAGAGATAGATGGGAGGTATTGAATAGAGTTGAAGGATGGGACTAATAACAAATAACAACAAATAATAACAAAGATAGCTAATAATGTAAGCATACTGTGTCCATAATAAGTATATAGGTTGTATGTTGGGAGCTTTTGGGAAAGAGCACAGTTAGATAGATATGGCATATAGAAGCAAACCGGATGGACATCATGAAAATGATCAGAGAGGTTGAGAGTAGAAGAAGTTCAGGAGCTAAAAAAAAAATAATATATATATATATATATAATATAATTATTGTAAAATTAACTCTGTCCATAAGGTGTAGATAGTAAGTATAGACCGGAAGTAGAGGCCTGGTCATTGTTGTTCACTAATTTACTCCAAGTAGGGAAAGGATGGTGGGGTTGAAAAGTAATAAAGGGGAGTATATATATATAAAAAAAACATGGGGGATTGGAAGTGATGCAGACAATTACATTGATAGAAGATACAATCTATCTGCAATATTAAGCTGATCCATTCCCCCCCCCAAAAAAAATAATAAAAAAATAAAATAATAAAAAGACCAAAAAAAAGAACAAAAAAAAAGAATGCCAATAGAAAAACACGAAATGCTGCTAGTTTGCTGTCATTCCAGCTTCAATTTGAAGTGATTGTGTTAGCTGTGTAAGTTAGCTGGCTAGCTTCTCTGAACAGTGTCCTGGCGAGAGAGCAAATTTTCTATGCCAGATGAAATTACTAGAAAACAGCTTAAACAAACGCAAATGCAGCTACTTTTCTGTTATTCTGGCTGCACTGTTTGATGCGACTATGTTAGCCGAAGTTGTCTAGCTAGCAAGCAAAGGATAGGGATAAGAACATTGGGAAAGGGAAGGGAAAGGGGATGCCTAGTCAGCTGCACAAGTCTGAGAGTTAATCATGTCTGGCTAAAATGAGAGTTAAGTTCTGACATCCTCTCTTACACCCATTGATGTAATATATATTACAATATAATGTTATACACTGATAACCACTCAAGCATTTTCTCCTCCATCTCTGAGCATGCAGTCAGAGTTGGTTAGTTTTAAATGGGCTTTTGATCAGCGTTGAGTGATGAATGACTTGCATCGATAGCCAGGACCCCCCCTTCAACAAATTCCATTACCCAAATTGCTTTGTGCTTACACCGCAATCCTGCCGATGATATGTGCCTCCCCATCCATGGTATTAGCAGAGTTCAGGGCTGCAAACTGGGAAAAGTTTCTTCAGAAAAGTTTTAAGCACATGAAGTTACGTTTTCTAATCAAAATGTACAAATCCTCCTACCTCATAAAATAAAAAATTAATTCGATTCAAACCAATTCAATAACTCCAGCTAACGAACAAAACTATTACATTTACATTTTAGTCATTTAGCAGATGCTCTTATCCAGAGCGACTTACAGTTAGTGAGTGCATACATCTTTCATACTGGCCCCCCGTGGGAATCGAACCCACAACCCTGGCGTTGCAAGCACCATGCTCTACCAACTGAGCTACAGTGGTGACTAACTATAAAGTTTGTCACCATGACTACACTAATCAGTGTGTGTGTGTGTTTGTGTGTGTGTCTGTGCGCGAGCATGTGTACATGCACGTGTGTTTGACATCTCAAGTCTTGTGTGAAAGAGAAAAGTGACACTTCTGAAGGTGTTGATTCTGTGAGGGAGGCAGCTGTGAGCAGTGTGTTTGCACCTTAGCAGTGCTGTCAAACCAAACCAGGGCACTCTGACTTCCTGCTTGCTTAACTCAGCAGCCAGCTCACTACATCACCACACTACTACATGTGGACACACACAGCCACTGGCCCAGAGCCTCAGTCTATTGCCTGACCTATGGAAGCCAATCTAACACATCTGAGAGCTGCAAAGGCTACTGGAGAAAGAAGGAAAATTGAAAAGGTTGCCATCTATAGCAGCTGAATTAGAAGAATGACGACATCAGCATTTCACTCGTCTGCTGACTGGAGAGTGGAGAGAATGGAGAGAGATGTTTTGTGGGTCGAGGGGTTTTGGGTGGTACTGGGCCATTCTGCTGAGCTTGTAGGTTCTGTGTTGCCCAAAAGTCCAACTGCCACCACACAACTCCAGTTTTTTATGGATTAGATTCAGTAGAACAAAGTGTTTGGTGATCGATGAGTGCCTATAGTATAAGTGTAAAGCTTTTCATACTGTACACTGGCTTGTGCATTCACTATGCTGTCACTGATACACACCTAATACCCAGAGAGAGAGAGAGAGAGAGAGAGAGAGAGAGAGAGAGAGAGAGAGAGAGAGAGAGAGAGAGAGAGAGAGAGAGAGAGAGAGAGAGAGAGAGAGAGAGAGAGAGAGAGAGAGAATACAAAGGACATTGCTCAGTACTGAAAGAACAGACCCTAAGGAGGACAAAAAGTAATCTCCTCTCCTCTCTTCTCCTATCACTAAATCCCAGTCTCATGTTGACTGTAGTGGGCTCCACTCCCTGCTGACACTGTTTGTGTGTTGACCAAGCATCCAGCTGTCTCTTTGTGGAGAGAGGGCTCTCTCTCTCTCTCTCTCTCTCTCTCTCTCTCTCTCTCTCCTCTCTCTCTCTCTCTCTCTCTGTGTGTGTGTGTGTGTGAGTGGGTGAGAGTGCTCTCCTCCTCCGGCTGGCTGGGAAATCGATGCATGACAAGTTATAATACACATCTCCTCCATGGCATTGACCTGGCACAGTTATCAACTACAGTGCGGGCTCCTTTAGCAGTCGGAGATGAGATTCCTCTCACCCGCAACAACACAATACAGCCACACACACACCACACCACATCAGGCTACCCACACTGCCACAGTCCTCTCACCTACTTACCCAATTCTAAACAAGCCTCTGATTAAAAGGCTAGGACAAAAACCAGCATACACCCTTACGAATCAGAGTTATACCCCACTGGGCTGATAGAGAAAGGGAATACCAATATAAACATATGGGATTTGACTCAATCACAGCGCAGAAGATTTCACTCTACATAATCAGTCCATCACTCTAGCAATAAGAAAACCATCTTCCAACAAAAAAAACTGTGTAAGGATCAGGCAGACAGGCACTTTGTCCTCTCCTTGAGTTACTTACAGTAAGAGAACTGAAGTATGTGTGTGTGTGTGTGTGTGTGTGTGTTTTTGTTTGTTTGTGTGTGTGGGTGTGTGTCTGTGTGTGCAAAAGCTCAGGAACGGGATGGGTATGTCCTCACTAACAAGCAAAAAAGCCAATCTATTTAGGCTACACATCAAGCCAGATCAGAGGTGGAGGGAGAAAGAGAGAGAGAGAGAGCGAGAGAGAGAGAGATAGAGAGAGAGACGCGAGATAGAGCTGCGAGAGAGAGGGCGAGAATAGAGAGCTAGAGAGAGAGGAGAGAGCGCGTCGAGCGTAAGAGAGAGAAGATCGTGAGAGAGAGATAGCTCCGGGTCTGTGTATTAGCTCTAAGAGAGCTCGAGGAAAGAGAGAGAGATGGAGAGAGAGAGAAATGAAGAGAGAGAAACAGAGAACCTTGCTAGACATCAAAGTAAAATGGAGAGATGTATTCCAAAAGGAATTAGCAAAATGGTATTATACTGGGAAAATGGGTTAATCTGTGGAAATCTGAGTTAAGATCAGAATGAATGGTGCTGTGGGGGAAAACCCAGCACTTGAAGAAAGATGAAATTAGGAATATGTGAGTGAAAATAGCTGTATGTAGCAGTAGAAGTATTGTTGTCCGTTAGTTTACTCCAATCAGGGTAGGGATGGCAGGGTTGGGGGGAAATATAAGGGGAATTATAAATGATGCAAACAGTTTTAAAAAATCACCCCCCAAAAAACAGAGTCTGGGAGGCAATAACAGGCAGGATCACCTCTAACATGTCGTCTCTGCGCCAAGACAACCTTTTACATTTACATCATTTAGCAGACGCTCTTATCCAGAGCGACTTACAGTTAGTGAATACATATATATATATATATTTTTTTTTTATACTAGCCCCCCGTGGGAATCGAACCCACAACCCTGGCGTTGCAAACGCCATGCTCTATCAACTGAGCGACATCCCTGCCGGCCATTCCCTCCCCTACCCTGGACCAATTGTGCGCCGGCTGCGACAGAGCCTGGATTCGAACCAGGATCTCTAGTGGCACAGTTAGCACTGCGATGCAGTGCCTTAGACCACTGCGCCACTCAGGAGACACAGGAGACACTTTTAGACAACAAATCGAAAACTAACAGCAAGGTTGATGTTCATTTAGCTGGAAGCCAAAACAAAAAGCTGTGTGTGTATGTGCCTTTGTCCTTGTGTGTACAGTATTTTATTCACACCTTGCTGCGGCATTCTGCTGTGTGGAATCTCATTTGACCTTTGGGCACTCTAATGACGAAACAAAGCAGACATATCGATCCTCCTGAATATCTCTCTCTCTCTCTCTCTCTCTCTCTCTCTCTCTCTCTCTCTCTCTCTCTCTCTCTCTCTCTCTCTCTCTCTCTCTCTCTCTCTCTCCCTCCCTCCCCCTCCCTCCCTCCCCCCCCCCCACCTGCTACCTCTGTCTTCTATTCTCTTACAATTTCCCTAACATCCCTTTCCTCCTTCTCTCTCTGTCGTCCCCCCCTCTCCTTTCCTATTTCTCTCTCTTCTCTGTCTGACAGTTTAACCTTGCATGATGTCTGGCTCTGTGCCACTCACCTGATACAGTGAAAGGTTAATAGGCAGATTGGATAGGGAGGAGAGACACGTTGGGCTTCATCCATAGGACTACTGCATGTAGAGTGAAAGAGCACCCCTGAGGGTTGACAGGCGATGGATACAGGAGGAGGGGCTAACGAAACCAAACCCAGCTACAGTCTCAGAGTAATAATCAAAGTATTGGCTGCAGAAACACTTCTGAAGGATGCAGTAAAATCAATGCTTTTCAGGTCTGTCTGGCCCAAAAAAACACAACAAATAATTAAAGAACGCAGAGGGAGAGAGAGGAGACACTGCCCAGTATTCCAAAATCCCATCTCAGCATCTCATCCAATCCAGAGCAAAGTACGGGAGCAAAATGGGATCGGTGATGAGCTCCTTTTTTTCCTGCTGTCTGTTGCCACCGGCAAGACTGTCAGTCTCCCGGCTATAGGCCGCTGCACTTATCTCAGAAACAGTCAGTCTTCCCTGAGCAGCCCCCGCTTCTCCTTCCTGACCCCTTACACCTCCTCCCTCCCCTTGACCCCCACTTTACAGGCAGACCTGCCTAGCAGCCATGACAGGAGCAGGGGGAAGGAGGGAAGGAGAGAAGGAAAGGGAGATGGGGAAGGACATACAGTGCCTTTGGAAAGTATTCAGACCCCTTGATTCAATTGATTGGACATGATTTGGAAAGGCACACACCTGTCTATATAAGGCCCCACAGTTGACAGTGCATGTCAGAACAAAAACCAAGCCATGAGGTCGAGGGAATTGACCGTAGAGGCACAGATCTGGGGAAGGGTACCAAAAAAAGACTTTTGAATCAATTTTAGAATAAGGCTGTAACGTAACAAAATGTGGAAAAAGTCAAGGGGTCTGAATACTTTCCCAAATGTACTGTATTCTCAGCCCTCTGCGGAAACCTGTCCATGTCTTCCATGTCCCTGGAATGATTTGATGCTATAATGTAACTGTACAGGGCACGCCTACCGCCTATTTGTTGGTCTTTTACCAGCCCCTAGGGCAATATGTTCGTGTTTTTACGTACTATTTGTACAAGTTATTTTTTATACAAGACCAGAGAAAGTATTATAGGGTTCAAAACAGGTCCTGACAAACAGTATAGTGAGCCAGAGAGTGCTGTGTGCTGGTAGAGCATGTCTCGTCAGGGCCTTCTAGGCCTTCAGTGAAGCCTGTGGTCCTCTGTAGCTCAGCTGGTAGAGCACGGCGCTTGTAACGCTAAGGTAGTGGGTTCGATCCCCGGGACCACCCATACACAAAAAAAAATGTATGCACGCATGACTGTAAGTCGCTTTGGATAAAAGCGTCTGCTAAATGGCATATTATTATTATTATTAAGCCCTAAGGATTTGTAGAATTTGTATTATATTTTTGTATTTTAATTTATTTTAAATGTATATTTAATCTGTTCAATCATTTAAATTATATTCTGATTATATCTCTTCAGTTTGTGTTGGAAATGGAAGGGTTAACACATACAGTGAGGGAAAAAAGTATTTGATCCCCTGCTGATTTTGTACGTTTGCCCACTGACAAAGACATGATCAGTCTATAATTTGAATGGTAGGTTTATTTGAACAGTGAGAGACAGAAAAACAAAAAATAAATCCAGAAAAACGCATGTCAAAAATGTTATGAATTGATTTGCATTTTAATGAGGGAAATAAGTATTTGACCCCTCTGCAAAACATGACTTAGTACTTGGTGGCAAAACCCTTGTTGGCAATCACAGAGGTCAGACGTTTCTTGTCGTTGGCCACCAGGTTTGCACACATCTCAGGAGGGATTTTGTCCCACTCCTCTTTGCAGATCTTCTCCAAGTCATTAAGGTTTCGAGGCTGACGTTTGGCAACTCGAACCTTCAGCTCCCTCCACAGATTTTCTATGGGATTAAGGTCTGGAGACTGGCTAGGCCACTCCGGGACCTTAATGTGCTTCTTCTTGAGCCACTCCTTTGTTGCCTTGGCCGTGTGTTTTGGGTCATTGTCATGCTGGAATACCCATCCACGACAAGATTTGACGGTACATGGCCCCGTCCATCGTCCCTTTGATGCGGTGAAGTTGTCCTGTCCCCTTAGCAGAAAACACCCCCAAAGCATAATGTTTCCACCTCCATGTTTGACGGTGGGGATGGTGTTCTAGGGGTCATAGGCAGCATTCCTCCACCTCCAAACACAGCGAATTGAGTTAATGCCAAAGAGCTCGATTTTGGTCTCATCTGACCACAACACTTTCACCCAGTTCTCCTCTGAATCATTCAGATGTTCATTGGCAAACTTCAGACGGGCCTGTATATGTGCTTTCTTGAGCAGTGGGACCTTGCGGGCGCTGCAAGATTTCAGTCCTTCATGGCATAGTGTGTTACCAATTGTTTTCTTGATTATGGTCCCAGCTGCCTTGAGATCATTGACAAGAGCCTCCCGTGTAGTTCTGGGCTGATTCCTCACCGTTCTCATGATCATTGCAACTCCACGAGGTGAGATCTTGCATGGAGCCCCAGGCCGAGGGAGATTGACAGTTATTTTGTGTTTCTTCCATTTGCGAATATTCGCACCAACTGTTGTCACCTTTTCACCAAGCTGCTTGGCGATGGTCTTGTAGCCCATTCCAGCCTTGTGTAGGTCTACAATCTTTGCCCTGACATCCTTGGAGAGCTCTTTGGTCTTGGCCATGGTGGAGAGTTTGGAATCTGATTGATTGATTGCTTCTGTGGACAGGTGTCTTTTATACAGGTAACAAACTGAGATTAGGAGCACTCCCTTTAAGAGTGTGCTCCTAATCTCAGCTCGTTACCTGTATAAAAGACACCTGGGAGCCAGAAATCTTTCTGATTGAGAGGGGTTCAAATACTTATTTCGCTCATTAAAATGCAAATCAATTTATAACATTTTTGACATGCGTTTTTCTGGATTTTGTTGTTGTTATTCTGTCTCTCACTGTTCAAATAAACCTACCATTAAAATTATAGACTGATCATTTCTTTGTCAGTGGGCAAACGTACAAAATCAGCAGGGGATCAAATACTTTTTTCCCTCACTGTAAGAGAAAAAAAGATCCAATCAGGATTTTTCTTTGGTGGTCTCTGGGGAGAAAAATCTAGCTAACTAGCTCAGCAATTGGCTAGGTCCTTCAGAAGCTAGATTGAAGGCGTCGCCCATTCAACTGTATTATGCCAGAATTTTGGCGTGAGAGTGGAAAACCAATTACATTTAGACTTGCAATGGGTGGGACAGTTTTTACATATTGATGGGTGAAAACGTATACGTTCTCGAAGGCCCTGAGACGTCACTACTGAGCAGCAGTAGCAGCAGTAGTTTTCCCACGCTTTAGCTTACTTTTGTTGTGTGTGGCTGTGGCTGCAGCAGCAGCAGGTGTTATCGAGGACTCGGAGGATGTTGTTGCTAATTTGTTATCATCACCTTTTGAAGATTAACTTTCAACAATAAATTAAGTTTAAAATGATAATCATCTGGTAAGTGGCACAGTTATTTATTGCAGCTCACTTGCCGTTAGCTATCTCTTTGAAAATGCGTGTGAAAGTTAAAACATTGTTGCATTTAAACTTAAGATCACCAGTTACTTTGTGTCAGGGGATGGAACCTACATTTCCAATTGTTTTGTTCTGAACAAAACCATAATTTTTTTTCATTCTATTCCACTGTTCTGACCAGCAAAGTTTTGAATCAGTTCGAACCCCCCAAAAAGTAACGATTTATATTGTTCCTTTCTGTTCCTTTTTATTTTATTTTTATTTTTTTTATTTCACCTTTATTTAACCAGGTAAGCCAGTTGAGAACAGGTTCTCATTTACAACTGCGACCTGGCCAAGATAACCAATCAGTGCGGATAGAGCAGCTTGCTATATGGAGCGGGCATGCTACAGTGAGGGAAAAAAGTATTTGATCCCCTGCTGATTTTGTACGTTTGACCACTGACAAAGAAATTATCAGTCTATAATTTTAATGGTAGATTTATTTGAACAGTGAGAGACAGAATAACAACAAAGAAATCCAGAAAAATGCATGTCAAAAATGTTATAAATTGATTAACATTTTAATGAGGGAAATAAGTATTTGACCCCCTCTCAATCAGAAAGATTTCTGGCTCCCAGGTGTCTTTTATACAGGTAACGAGCTGAGATTAGGAGAACACTCTTAAAGGGAGTGCTCCTAATCTCAGCTTGGTACCTGTATAAAAGACACCTGTCCACAGAAGCAATCAATCAATCAGATTCCAAACTCTCCACCATGGCCAAGACCAAAGAGCTCTCCAAGGATGTAAGGGACAAGATTGTAGACCTACACAAGGCTGGAATGGGCTACAAGACCATCGCCAAGCAGCTTGGTGAGAAGGTGACAACAGTTGGTGCGATTATTCGCAAATGGAAGAAACACAAATGAACTGTCAATCTCCCTCGGCCTGGGGCTCCATGTAAAATCTCACCTCGTGGAGTTGCAATGATCATGAGAATGGTGAGGAATCAGCCCAGAACTACACGGGAGGATCTTGTCAATGATCTCAAGGCAGCTGGGACCATAGTCACCAAGGAAACAATTGGTAACACACTACGCCGTGAAGGACTGAAATCCTGCAGCGCCCGCAAGGTCCCCCTGCTCAAGAAAGCACATATACATGCCCGTCTGAAGTTTGCCAATGAACATCTGAATGATTCAGAGGAGAACTAGGTGAAAGTATTGTGGTCAGATGAGACCAAAATTGAGCTCTTTGGCATCAACTCAACTCGCCATGTTTGGAGGAGGAGGAATGCTGCCTATGACCCCAAGAACACCATCCCCACCGTCAAACATGGAGGTGGAAACATTATGCTTTGGGGGGGGTTTTCTGCTAAGGGGACAGGACAACTTCACTGAATCAAAGGGACAATGGACAGGGCCATGTACCATCAAATCTTGGGTGAGAATGTCACGCCCTGGCTCTGGGGACTCTCGAATGTTGAGCCAGGGTGTTAGGTTCTAGTTTTGTGTTTCTATGTTGGCCAGGGTGGCTCCCAATCAGAGACGGCTGTAGCTCGTTGTCTCTGATTGGGAGCCATACTTAGGTAGCTGTTAGGCATTCGTTTGGTGTGGTTTCTTGTTCCTTTTGGTTTGTGGTTGTACCGTAGGACTTCACGTATCGTTTGTTGTTTTGTTCGCTGTGGTGTACTAAAATAAAATATGTACGCATCTCACGCTGCGCCTTGGCCCGCTTCTTTTCAAGACGATCGTGACAGAAGAAACCACCACGACTGGGTCAAGCAGCGTGATGAGGATAGAGGTTGGAATTGGGAGCAGTGGAGTGAGAGTTGGGCGAGAACCATGGAGGCCTGGTCCACGGGGGAGAGACAAGCCCAGAAATTTTAGGGGGGGGCTCACGCCGTGGACGACGGGGCAGCAGGTGTACGGGATAGAGTGGTTCAGAGGGTTGGCAGAGGAGGCCGCCAGGTTACGGGAGTTACTGGACACCAGGGGGAAGGAGAATGTAGAGGCACGGCGAGAGGTACTGGGGTGTGTTGCCAGTCCGGTCCGGCCCGTTCCTGATCCCCGCATAGGGCCAGTGGCGTGTGTCCCCAGTACGGTCCGGCCTGTTCCTGTCTCTCGCACCGAGCCTGTGGTGCGCGTCGCCAGCCCGGTTCGGCCTGTTCCTGCTCCCCGCACCAAGCCTATGGTGCGCGTCGCCAGCCCGGCCCGTTCCTGCTCCCCGCACCAAGCCAGTGGTGCGCTTCGTCAGCCCGGTTCGGCCCGTTCCTGCTCCCCGCACCAAGCCAATGGTGCGCGTCGTCAGCCCGGTCCGGCCTGTTCCTGCTCCCCGCACCAAGCCAGTGGTGCGCTTCATTAGCCCGGTTCGGCCCGTTCCTGCTCCCCGCACCAAGCCAATGGTGCGCGTCGTCAGCCCGGTCCGGCCTGTTCCTGCTCCCCGCACCAAGCCGGTGGTGCGCGTCGTCAGCCCGGTCCGGCCCGTCCCTGCTCCCCGCACCAAGCCTGTGGTGCGCGTCGTCAGTCCGGCACAGCCCGTGCCTGTTCCACCGGTGCCTGGTCCGGCACCAGTCAGCTGCTCCATTCCGGAGCTAGAGCATTCCGCTCCACCAGTGTTCAGTCCAGCTCCGGCCAGCAGGGCCAGACCGGACCAGGGGCGCTTTGGGGGGTTAGAGAGGGAGTGGGAGTCATGCCCGGAGCCGGATCCGCCGCCGAGGCGGAGTGCCCACCCGGTCCCTCCCCTGTTGTGTTTGGTTGGCGCGGTCGGAGTCCGCGCCTTTGGGGGGGGGGGGGGTACTGTCACGCCCTGGCTCTGGGGACTCTCGTATGTTGAGCCAGGGTGTTAGGTTCTAGTTTTGTGTTTCTATGTTGGCCAGGGTGGCTCCCAATCAGAGACGGCTGTAGCTCGTTGTCTCTGATTGGGAGCCATACTTAGGTAGCTGTTAGGCATTCGTTTGGTGTGGTTTCTTGTTCCTTTTGGTTTGTGGTTGTACCGTAGGACTTCACGTATCGTTTGTTGTTATGTTCGCTGTGGTGTACTAAAATAAAATATGTACGCATCTCACGCTGCGCCTTGGCCCGCTTCTTTTCAAGACGATCGTGACAGAGAACCTCCTTCCCTCAGCCAGTGCATTGAAAATGGGTCGTGGACGGATATTCCAGCATGACAATGACCGAAAACACACGGCCAAGGCAACAAAGGAGTGGCTCAAGAAGAGGCACATTAAGGTCCTGGAGTGGCCTAGCCAGTCACCAGACCTTAATCCCATAGAAAATCTGTGGAGGGAGCTGAAGGTTCGAGTTGCCAAACGTCAGCCTAGAAACCTTAATGACTTGGAAAAGATCTGCAAAGAGGAGTGGGACAAAATCCCTCCTGAGATGTGTGCAAACCTGGTGGCCAACTACAAGAAACGTCTGACCTCTGTGATTGCCAACAAGGGTTTTGCCACCAAGTACTAAGTCATGTTTTGCAGAGGGGTCAAATACTTATTTCCCTCATTAAAATGCAAATCAATTTATAACATTTTTGACATGCGTGTTTCTGGATTTTTTTGTTGTTATTCTGTCTCTCACTGTTCAAATAAACCTACCATTAAAATTATTGACTGATCATTTCTTTGTCAGTGGGCAAACGTACAAAATCAGCAGGGGATCAAATACTTTTTTCCCTCACTGTATAGTTGTTAACATGCATTGGACAGACAAGCGTAGGACATGAGATGCGACTGAAATTTTGCAGGTGGGGAGAAAGCGAGAGATGGTGGAGGAGGAGGCTCGGCTTGAAGCGCTGGCCATTTTGTTACGACATGCATTAGCTATCTGAATTAGGCCCACATAATTATACCTATCAATGAGCGGCTTCTATGAAGGAACTTTTAACTTTTGAGAGTTGACTTAATGTACCGGTAGCCTACTGTATCTATGACTGCGGTAGATAAAACGTAATATACTGGTGGCTACTGCGCTCCCCCGGGTTGTTCTGAGACCTTGGACATGCTTTAGACCACAGTTCAGAGTCAGAGCAGACTTTAGAGCAGGCAGGCGGCACATGGGCACACATACACACACCCTGTAATTCCCTAACACTCTGTCCCTGTCACACACACTCCCCGGACACACAGACACAGACAGACACACACTCACACACAGGTCATGCACGTACACACACACATTCCCCCCATACATTCCTGCACACACACACTCCCATGTGAGTCACCAGATTAGTATCCACTCTGTGTAAAGTTTTTCCTTTATCCCACAGTGAAAGAAAACTACTTTCCCTCTTTTCTCTGCGTAATCCCTAATCTCACCAGTTACCAACAGTAATCCTAATGGTCTAAAAACATTCAGTGGCGCATGATAGAGTAGTGACCCGAAAAGATGTAGGCAAAAGAAAATAACCTATTTTTTCTTCCTCTAGATCCGGGGGGGGGGGGGGGGGGGAGATCGGGAGGGAGCGAGAGAGGCAGAGGAAGAGACAGAGCGAGAGATACAGTATATAGAAAAATGGGAGGAGAAGGAGAGAGAAAGAGAGAGAAACCAGTCCTAAACCCTAAACAGAACATTTAGTTCCAGTCACTTCATCCCTCTGTTGTGGATTAGGACACTGTCAGGATCACATAACACATGTTATCCGATGAGACGGGGAGATTCAATTGGACAACTAGGGAGGACTCTCACACTGAGCTCTGTGAGGTCAAAGTGCACAACCCTTCCTCTTCCTCCTCCGCCCTGCTGACTGTAACTAGTCAGTTGGTTCTACTCACCATGCCACCACACACAACAGCCATGTGTCCCCTTCTGATGACCTTCTCCATCCCACAATGCTCCTCTCTGTGGGGTCCTCAGGACCAGCTGCAGACCAGGGCTCCTTCATCTGCCTTAGTGACAGGAAGTGAATCATCAGGCCAGACTTAACCCCTGACCCCTCTCTCTCAGAGTCCTTCCTAGCCCTCCGTATCAGTCGTAGACAAATAGTCTTTACACAGCTATTTCATGGCAAGGCCAGGTCAGATCAGATCAGATGAGCTGATACCATGTTCCTCCACGATATGAAGTCTAATGAAGCATGAGGCTTGAAGTAGTATGAAGTCAACATGAAGTGTGAACATGGGTTTGGCCACACCACGTCCGAGGCTAATGTAAGGATAGTGTAAACAGAAAAGGTGCAAATCTGATAGTGAAGTAAGGCAGAACTTACTTTGCATATTTTGTATGTGTAAAAAGTCCCAGAGAGAGAAACAAACACAGCCAAACACAGAAACACACAGACACAGACACACACACACACTTGCAAATACACACAACTGTTCTGGTTCAGAATATTCAGAGGCCATTTGTTCCTGATGGAAAGATTCAATCTCAGCATAATTTCTTTTGCGGGGATGAAGCCGGGTGTCTTCAAAAACCATCCAGATCCTTTTCCATTACAGCCAAAGACGTATTATCGTTTTGCCCTAAACTGTTACATCTCAAAAGCCCTATAATCTCAGAGAAACTATTTGTCTGTGATAGATCGATGGGAGGATTCAGAACACTTGTGTGCTCTGAGCTTGGCTGAGGAGAGGAGCCAAGCAGCAAAACACAGTTTGTCTTTGAGAGTAAACAGAGTTTAGTGATGGATGAGCTCACCTGTGGAAATAGACGAGTGGAGCAAGGGAGAAGAAAAAGAGAGGGAGAGGGAGAAGAGAGAACACATGCAGGCGACACTCAGGGGGTTTCAGAGCCTTACTGACATCAATATCCAACACCAGATTTGATGTGGATTAAAAGCAAGCAAAAGTGAGAACTAATCCCTGTCTTGATGCTATCTTGCATCTTTGATGCTTTTTCCTCTCTCATCTTCAATCCAATGGTCTCTGTTCCCATGGTGCCATCCTATCATCCTGACGTTAATCAAAAGTTTCCTTACAAACAAAACTCTCTCAGTTGAACTCACCAGAGACCAATTCCCATAATAAATGTCATTGTCGCCGAGGCGGATAACTGGAAAACACAGTAAACACTGCTGACTGCAGTTGTCGGCTCTGGCTACAAGTTGCCGGTGGAAACCGATCTAAAATCAGCTTACCCTCACCCCAACCTATCAGTTTAATGTTAAAAATGTCCTGTCAAGTTCTGATTAAATAAGAAAGGACCAAACACGACGTTCCACCTTTACTAAGGTTATGGAGCGTCTAGGCTGACTGGGCTGGTTCATTCCCATATTGTGCTGTGTGTGCAGTATGTTGACAGCATATGTTGGCCCTGGGCCATAACGATCCCCAGAGGATGAGCAAGGTGCAGAAGTGCTCACACACACGCACACACATGCATGAAAACACACACACACACCCACACAGCTACAGGAGCCAAAGGGAAAGAGGGGATTTAACCAGCAAAACAAGTGAAGCAGGGAATGGAAACCCAGCGAGCGAGAAGTCCAAATGCACACCTCCATCTAACGCCAGAGGAAAGACAGATTAAAGATGACTGACTGGTGGAGCTTTATAGGTGTAACTTCCATCAGGAGTAGCCACGTTTTCTAGGGGACCACAAGCCAAGATAGAAGCAGGATGACGCATAAAACATTAACGTGTCAACTGCGCAAACAATAAACCGCATGACAGAGAAAGAGAGAGCGAGAGAGAGAGAGAGCGAGAGAGAGAGAGCGAGAGAGAGAGAGAGAGAAAAGAGAACGATAGAGTGAGAGAAAAGAAGAGGGAGAGAGATAAAGAGATAAAGAGAGAACGAGCTAACACGAGAAGAGAGAGAGAGAGATCCTTGCTGCCTGTTCCAGTACATCCATATTCAGGGAGCTGGTGGCAGCACAAACAAACAGGGATGGGTCGATCTAAACAATGGCACCTCTTAGCATTCAACACAGAGCTACATTAATACACACCTCAGGAGGGTGATCAATCATATACCAGAAGGAAGCCATCCACCACGATAACACACACTTGCACTACTTCAATACGTTTCTACTACAATAGCTTGTGTCTTCATACCATTTATTAGAGTACTACTGTAGTACTACTGTAGAAGTGCACACAGGAGAGGGTACTGCACAGTATATCTAGTAGATGTAGAGATGTCCATCATGATAAAGGAGGTGCAGAGGGTAGTCTCAGAGCTCTTCTATAATGATATACTAGAGGACACAGGGGTGTATGGTTCACATGACGAGAGAGAGGTCGCTACACACTGGGTTTATTTAGTCACACACTGTCCATACACCAAGAGGTGTGAACGTCAGAGAGACTGCTACTTGGAGATCAAATGGGCCAGATGCACTAAGAAACAGAGGGCGATGTGTGTGTGTGTGTGTTAGTGTGTATATGTGACTGTGTGACTGTGTGTGTCAGCATGTATTTCCGTTACACACTCTCATGGGTTGCACTTGTGTCTGGTCTGTCATCAGCCTCTCAGAAGCCCCCTCAGGGAGCGAGCAATGTGGAGTCAACACTAACCTGTCCAGACACACACAATCTGACAGCGATAACCCTGACACATGCACGCTCGCTGGAGGAAGCGCACGTCAACAAGGGCGCTGCGCTTATCCTCTTAGGCCTGCGGCGATGGTGGTAGATTTGGCGTTCGGTGATGCAGGTGTGTGTTCAATGGGGCGTGTGTGTGAATGTGTTTGTGCCTTAGTGGGTTGACACCCTGAGTATGAAACAGCTTCATCATAACCCGTCCTTAAACAGAGACCATAGCAAGGTAACAACACTTGCCGGTCTTGTTCACTTTAATATGATTTTATGTGTGTTTGAGGGTGTATGAAATGGAGTGAGTGAACAATATCTGGCATGTTTGTCTGAGGATATGCTTTTACTTGTGTGTATAAGGTGTACAGTGGCGACTCGTCATTCAGGGCAGGTGGGGCTAAGGCCCACCTGTTTTGAGCCCCACCTGTTTAGCTAAAAAACTAACAAAAAAACAAATGTTTTTGTTGTTGTTGTTGTTGCCGGTTTTGCATGTTATTTTGGCATTAACACGTGTCACATATCAGTTTTCAAACAATGTAAAAAAATATATATATTGAGTTAATAAAGCCGCATACAACCATGGTCATTTCTTTGCTTTCTTGAGTAAGGCAGCTTCAAAATGCAGGCGTTTCAGCCTAGCTCAGTGATTTCTGTGGTGGAGGGGCAGCCAGCGGAAAATACAGTGCGGAGGGGTTGGTAATCTTCTGTAGTTGCGCCGTGATTGGACTCAGTGTTCTGTCACTAATGGGGACATTACGTCACCGCAGAATCTACAGGGAGAACTAGAAAGTTCAAGCCCCCTTGGGTACTGCCATATATTTACATTAGAAGTGCCCAGCCAAGAAGGCTCAAGGTCATTGGCCACAGATAAAATGACGTCAAATCACATTATATCTACCGTAGCTTTGATTGGACTAATCATGTCAACATCATACTTTCAAAATCTTAGCTGGCAAGCTAGACAAGCAGTCATCGACATGAATCACATCGACAATCTACTGGCAAATCCTTTTCAATCCTTGTCATATGAAGAGAAATTATAGATAAAACGTATCGGTGCTCATCGGCAATTGGACATAAACATTACACAACAAGTTGGAAATCGCAAATTCAACAATGAGTGGTTTGGAAGGATTCAGTGGCTAACTGCAAGCGTTGCAAAGCAATCACTATTTTGCTTCCCCTGCCGGCTATTCGGTGGAGAGGGTGTGTGGTCCAAGTCTGGGTTTAAGGGTCTCTTTTCCAAGCTTAAAAGGATAAACATTCACACACAACACCATGGGCCAGAAAAGGTTTAATACATTGGCCATGCTGTCAATCCAGCATGACTTCTGCCGCGTTCAAAACAACTGGAAACTCGGAACTGGGAAATCTCAGACTTCAGTGAGTTCAAGACAACTGGGGACTCTTAAAAAAACTGGGAAAATACGTTTGAATGGTCATCCAACTCGGAATTCCAAGTCGGGAACTATGGCCTCTTTCTAGAGCTCCGACCTGAAGATCACTGATGTCATGACTAGACCTTGTTTTTTCAGAGTTTTCAGTTGTCTTGAAAGCACCATAAATCCAGAGAATGCCAGAATTTGATGACAAAGTTTCATGACAAAAGTTGCCCACAAGAAGGACCGCCGCGCCACCTTCCTGTTCAAGTAAGCACAGCACAACGGTGAAAATTATTGTAATAATTTGGTCCCTTTCCCCCTCATAACTTAGCCTACTGTTCTGACTTGGTGGTGCACATGTAGCCTATAGCCTGTTTTAGAGAAATGTCATAATCTAATATTGTAAGAACTTTCATTGTCTGCTTATATGCCCCCTTTATTTATCCTACGGTTCTGACTTGGTGTACAGGGAGAATACTGTAAGAATGGCACATGTTCTGAATTCTTTTGCTGTACATTTCAAAAGTGCTGAACAAATAGTTATATTGACCACGTCCGTCTTAGCTCGCTCATTAATGTCTTAATCGAAATTACAGATTGCCTCTTATCGCTCATTGTCCCTTATTCCATAGTTTGTACATCTCAATTGTCAGTAGAAACCACATTTGTTTAAGCAAGGCAGCCATATCAGCTATGTTTTTAAAAAAGGCAGTAAATGAGGCTGAATGCTGTTTCGCTGCCAGACAAAGCTCTGCTGATAGCCAGGTGTAGCGGTGGTAAGGATTCACTCCATGGTGCTGAAAAGAAAGCACTGCTGTTGGGAAAGCTGTACGTAGGCCCTAACAGTTTCTGGGCACTGTTTGTCACCGTTATAGTGCAATTAATGTATTGTTTAGTGTTGTGTTGTGGCTTTTCTGGCATGCATTAACAAAAAACATGTTGAGTTTGCACCACCAAGATTTACATGCTAAAATCGCCACTGAAGGTGTATATGAGTGTGTCTGTGAGTGTATCTCATCACTTCT